ATTCTACATGGGGTAAGATGTTGAATAACACTAAAAAAATATATATAGTTTGAGTGCAACTTCTTGAAGTCTTAAAGGTTTTTCCATGCCATATGCTAATGCTGTGACGTATGAGGAGTAATCATTTAATATACAAAACACTGCTGGTACAGATAAATTTAATTTGGAAATACGTCATTGTCACAGCATTAGCATATGACATGGAAAAACCTTCATAACTTCAAGAAGCTGCACTCAAATTATGTAATTTTTTCGGGTTATTCAACATCTTACCCCATGTAGAATCAATACTGAGAATATTGTCAGATGGGTGATAGGCACTTTAACTTTCTAATCCTATAAAATCTTTTTAAAGATTAAATTTCAGTCTAAAAACTATATCACCATATTGTTTCAAAAGTGATGGATGGCTAGATGCTGAGGTGTTGAAATGTCAACACAAAAATCACTCAATCGACCAATTACAGGTGATCATAATTGTAATTCTGCTGGAAAATTTCTTGAGAGACTGTCACAACGCTTGAAAAATCATTTACGAATAAGCACTTGGCAACGATTGAAGTGTGCTTGGTTGTTGAAGTGAAATAGCATACAATTATTGTAAAAAGAGTAAAAATATACTTCAAATTCTAGCATCGAGGAGAAATTTCAGCACATGGAAGGACGAAAAAACTGTAGCTTGAACGTTTTAATCGATAACAAGTCCGACAACTGGAAGAAGGATCATGAAACAATTTGAATGGCCCCGACTATTGTCCGAAAATATATCCACTTACTTACACAGATGACTAGCTACATGCAGTATCTATGCCTTTAAGGCAGTAGCTACAAAAAGGGGAAAGCAACTAGTGGGGGGGAGTCCGGACCCCCTGGACCCCTCCTCTGGATCTGCCCTTGACCAATGATATAGACATATTCTAAGTTCCAGAAATAACACAGGTAATTAACATAACAATAAGATCCCTTGATGTACCACTTTGCATATGCTAACCTGCCATCGGGCCTTTGTGACAGTTCCTCTTGACATCCGAGGAGCAAATGCACATCACAATGACCCCCCATCAATCCCCTCCAGCGTGGCACAACCATTACACACAAATACATTCCTCTCTCCCCTCTCTCCACACACCTTTTTTCCTGTATGCATATCTAATTAGTTATAAATTCATGAGTATTGTCAGCACTTAGAATATAATACTATTTGCAGGTGGTTCTTACTTTGCAGCATCAAGACTTGAAAGCCAGTTGGGATCCATACTCCAGAATGACTTGGTTGTTTCCAACACACAAAGCTCTCTGACCTTGAGAAAGCTCAATGCAAGGTCTTGAATTGTAGGGCACATCTTAGCAACATCAACTACCAAGACTTCCTTATGTTCTGGGTTACAGGGCAGAGTGGATAAGGCCCGGAACAATGATGTTTCTTCTTTTCCCAAAAATATGCTTTCTGGTCTAAAATAAATAACAATAACATTAGTTATTAAATGCTTTAATAATTATCTTAAAACCTTGATAAAGTCAAAGGTTGTGAGATTTTAACTAACAGTCAAACCAGCTCATGCATTCCTATCAAGGTTTTAAGATTCATTGTATTATTGGAAGTTCAGTTTCCATTTTGCTTTGAAGCTTGCATTAATGAAACCAATGTTGCATATTTGAATACTGGGCTCAGATTAAAAGTTTATTTAATTCTTCACAGATTTTTGCAAAGCTAAAATTATTTCTACAATTGTAGCCACCATGCATGTTGAAGTTATTTGTGTGGTGTATCCTTGCGTTTAAAAATTCCTTTCACAAAYGAACATTGGATGTTTTGAAATTTGCAATGTTCATTTCATTAATGCAAGCTTCAAAGCAAGATGGAAATAAAACTTCCAATAATTAAATCAACAGATCAAATACAGTTTTCCGTGTTTGATACTCTGATCAAAACACGCGGGATGTTCAGAGAACGCTTAACACTTTTTCTTGGCAGTCAACGATCACCACTTTAATCTGTTAATCTTTAATCTAGTAATCTCATCTTCAAGTAAAATAACCATTTTTTTTTRAATATCACAATGATTGAATGCAAATCTTTGAAGCTAAACAAGCAGCAAATGATTCTATTGCACATTTGGTTTCTTCCGTCAATACAACGGAAAACAATATAAAAAAGCATCRCTTTTTTCTGCTGAAGGGGGGCTTCAGCTTTAAGCTTCAGCCCCCATTTGCCTCCCCTGGATCCGCCCTTGTATTTACATACCAAGATGAGTTAGTGTTGTTTTGAAAATTTCTCCAAATAATATCTTACTTTGACTACCTTTCTATAATCTGGCAAAAGATTTCATTATTTAAAATTGGGCGTTTTTAAGAACATGCTAAGATTTTTATTGTCYGACCCGGCCTGTTTTGTTTCAAAATTGACAAAATATACGACTTTGTAAAAATGAATGGGGAAAAAATTTTTTTGACCTTTTTAGTTCCAAAATCAATGCATAATAGGTTTTTGGGTCCCCAGAGATTACAAAGACAATTTCACAAGTTTTAAGAGAATGTATAAAGTACTAGAACCCAGGTACCATGCCAAAGAGGGAGACTATGCTAGCAGGGAACATGCACAACAAACTTTGCAAAGAATTGTAAGAAAACAGCATAAAAACTACAACAGATCATTTTTTCTTTCTATATGATAAAACAAATAAAACAGCTTTTTTCCCGTGCTTACTCAGGCACTTTTATAAGTAAACTGAACCCACCTGCCTGAAGCACTATACAGTATTGGTACACCAGTTGAAGGGCGGCTCCAGCACCATACAGGAAAGCGAGACTCAATATAATGTAATGACATGCGATTGATATCAGAGTCTGTCAGTGAAGCTAAACAGACAAAAAATTGTGACTGATTTGGACAGGTCTTAAAATTATCATTAGCATTGACAACTCTCCAAGTGTCATCAACTTTCAGCCGTGATAGTTCACTTAACCAATCAGGTAATGTCCTGAAACTTAGTATGGTATTTACAGACTGATTATCATCCAGCTGTTCCTTTGAGATAGCTGCACTATAATTTACAGCAAACAGCAATGACATTGATGAAGGGTATGCATAACGTGTTAATGCATGAGCAATAACTGTTTGTTCATCTTTAGGGGTGAACTTTAAGCCAAACTCAATCACTCTAAAGTCTTTGCAGTGAATCTGGATTAGCTGTATCTTGGAAGCAACTTTCTTATTTGGAAGGAGCTTCTTAAGCTTGGTGCCTGATTTAGAAGTTTGATAGTAAAGATCTTGTATGCAGGTTTGTGGGATGTGGAGTTCTTGTTGGATTTCTGCATTTATTCCACCTTGAGTTAGGTCTGGATTTGACTGAAAAACAGAACTCAGTGGTGTTTCAGTGGAAGAATACATGGTAAGAAATGACACTCGGAAATTTGTGACGTAAAGAATTCCAGAAATTCCTGACTTGCTTTYTGTCATTGCGCTGAATCTTAGCACTTTCCTGGCACAGGCAACCATGATTTCCCCTGGAAGGTAGTTGGGTTCAGGAAGTTTTTCCTCTTCAAGTTGACTTGAAGGAAAGGTCTTAGCCATCTGTTTGATAGAACAGGTAAAACGGTAAAAACAAAAACATCAAAACAAAGTAAATATTAATTTTTAAAACATTTTAAAGTAAAAAATCAAAATTTATCTAACATATCATGCATATTTTTTATTTATTTTTTGCCCCAGTTACTCTGATTCTTTTAATAGCAAAAATAAACCGATATGCATAGACATTTAAGGGGCACTTGAATGAAAACACCCCAGTTTTTGAAAGTCCGAATAATTGAAGTATTTGAGGATAATGTGACTTAGATGCTGAATAAACTTGATAATTTTTTTCTGCCACTTAATTTGACTATGAAGAAAACATGTTGCTTGGCTAATATCTGGGCCATATAGATGAAATTTAAACAAGTTACAAGTCATTTCCAATTTTTATTGATTTTTCATCCAAGTGCCCCTTTAATTGGCAGCATGTGATACACGTCAGTCACTCAGCCACCTTCAATGGTTCACTTTAATAATTTGGTGGCATTGATAGGCAATCTTAGATAAAACATGTTTCGAACCAAAATTACTTTTTTATATAAATAATCACAACCTGATGGCTTAATATATTAAAGAATCGAAATTTATTCATATTTGGAGCTACTGCTGGGGTTTGCTTATATTCCAGTATAAAAGTACAATACCCTGTCGAGCAAAAACGAGTTATAATCCATACAAAGATATAACTAGCTAAAAACTAGTGTGAACTGCGTCGGTGTTTCTAATGAAACAGTAATGATGAAAAGGTAAATTATACACCGTGAAARGATGAAAAAACTTACTGACGTTTCGGACGCTAGTCCTTCGTCTTTTACTCCGACGAAGGACTACTGTAGCGTCCGAAACGTCAGTAAGTTTTTTCATCTATTCACGGTGTATAATTTACCTTTTCATCATTACTATAATCCATGCAGTCGTGAAATTAGTAAAACACCAAATAAATGTTATCATCTAAATAAATTGGTATTACAAGTAGATGGATGAGAAATACACAGAAGTTAAAAGGTAAGATTGGGGAATGATCTGAGTCGAGGAAGTTTTGTGCTTGCAAACACTGTAATCAAAATGATGATCAAAGACGACAAAACAAATACAGGTCTAACAAGTCTTTAAGCTATAAGAAGTATTGACCAAATGGGAGAACGTATAAGTTTAAGCTTAACTTATTAATGTCATGAGCAAACTAAGTCACTTGTTAACTGCTGGAATGGTTGTTCCATTGATCGGGCTGACAACTGAGGTCTTTCACTCGCTCAACCAACAGGAGTTTCTTAGAGTGTATGTGGACCATCTACGCACTACACATACATTCAAACAACCAACAAACCAAAGAGTAAATGAGTGAAACTTTTTTACTTACGATAGGTCCACTCCAGAAGAAAACCGTAACACTTTTTCTTGGCAGTCAACGATCACCAACTCTACAACGTTAGTTGATGAAGAACAAGGACTCAATGAACAACCATGACGGTGATCATTTTTTCAAAGACACAAGTTTTGAAAACTCTAATTCTATAAGCCTTATTCAAACAGTAATGATAAAAGTTAACTTCTTAGAATYTAGTGAAATCATCGAGAAAACGTAGCACATTTTAGATTTACTTGCCACTTTTTGCAAYCAACGACCATCAAGAAAACTAGTAGACTAGGTACTAGATCGCTGAAACAGGATATTAATATGATTTTTTCATATTGGGGAGGGGAGGGTTGACTTATGTTAGGAAAAGTCAAATTATAAATAAATTCAATATAAACAAAACTAATATTTTAAAATCTTTTCAAGTATAAGTATTTCTCATGAGCCTTTCGGTTTGATTCGATGTCTATAATTTGGTATTTTAGATTGTATGAAAAGATAAAATGTTTTATAAGTTTTTTCCCTCCCCTGAGAGTAGTTATTGATTGTTCSCTTCACGTGACTGGAGGCTTGATTGACATTTGATTTGATACTGCCCGTGGACGTTTTGATCGCAGAAAAGCTCCGCGTCGTCTTTTTGAGCTGTAGGTCGGCCATTGATTGATTCTTTTTTTCAGTAGAAATAGGATTTTTAGTCATGGTTGTTGGACCAGAAGATCAGCAGGAAAATTCCGACGAAGGTAATATCATTTTTTGAAGTATGTTTGTGTCGTAAACTGAGGGAGTACACGTAAGCTTACTTTTTCGACTGTATTCATTGGTTGGCTTTCCAAAACTTTGGTTTGACAAAACAAGCTGTAAAGCTATAACTTATCTTGTGTATATAATTATCTAGTTTCTGACTAAATGTTTTGTAACTAAGGGAGAATAGTTTATTATTTCCTTCTGAATAATTACTGTCTGAAATTACTAATAAACAGCTTCCATCCCCGACACACAAGTAGCTCCCTATCTAGACTCTTAGTTTCCATCTTATTTGCATCGGTGTTTAATGCACAAATAAGTAGTAGCCAAGTGAAGTAATAATTCCTATTTTATTACAGTTTTGAGCAAGCTTATCACTATATTTTTTGCTTGGGTAGGGAGAGAGATGTTAGTAAACCGGAAAAGACCGCCTGCATAGTGAGAACACGGGATTATTATAGTTATCTACTGCTTACATTATATTTAGTAGCTAACTTAACTATAACTTCTCTTGAATATTCACCCTAACTACTATCTTACAGTAATTGCGATGCTCTTTAATTTTCTTGAATACAGGAGATCGTTTTCGAATCTAATAATCAATAAGATTGGGTATTATATTGATTATTATTATAAATTGTTGTGGAACATGAATATACAGTAAAAGAAATTGTTTCCACCTCAATTTCCCTAAATATATTTATAACATAGAGCTCTTCCAACACAAACCCAAAACATTTTGATACCAGATTTTCTTTAATATTAAAAAGGTAATCATTTTTCTGTGGCCAACTGATCTCCTTTTTACCATTATCTGTATACATTACATATAATTAGTACAGAGGATACTTAAGTTTRCATTCTTTAGGTGCACAAGTCAAATCAGGGAGATGTGATGGAACAAATAACAAACCTTTTGGTCAAATCATGACTCAGTAATTCTGTTTACAGCAGATATTTTACTAGTTTGTTTTGATTGTTTGAACGTGTAGTTAGGTTGAATGTCAATCGTTGTTAGGGGGCGGAGACAATGTTTCACCTCCCCTTGTGCTCAAAGTTCTCACAGGAGGTTCAGAGAAGGAAGTTGTGTTGTAATTTTTGAGTTGAGAAATGTTGCTAGTTAAAATTAAGTTGTCTTACAACTGCTACAGATATGATGGAAGGGGATCATATGCACTTAAAAATGCTCTAGAAAATTATGAAATCCCAGACACTGAAATGGTATGACTGCACTATCTACTGGTCTTTGCCGTTTGTACAAACTGTCCCTCCACAGCAGTGGGAACAATAACAAATGGTTTATAAACTACGATTTTAGACCTTGCTAACCTCTTTGAGTTCCCAGGCTTGAATCCCACCTTGGGCAAGTTTGCAAATATTTACATCTTTAACCAATGAATTATTGATTTTGAATAAAATAATATATCATATCCAAAGTGCTGACAAATATTGTTTTTAAACAATGTGGATGACAAACTAGTTTGTCATTGGGCATGTTGTTGCTTTTTGAAACAAATTTGAAAAACACTCCTGATAAAGTCTGTTGATAATTGAAGGTAAACAAAAAACTAGTGGATTATTTCCTTTTAGATTTAAGATATTTCTTAGTTCACTAAAGAGAAGGCTAAGTTTGAGTTAAAACTGAATATATTTGCCTTTGATATATTTCCCAYATTTTCTCACGATTGCTGATTTTGAGTTACTACTGGATTGATTTGCTTCTAATGCCTTTCCAACATTTGCTCATGATCACTAATTTTAACAAAATTGCATTTTGAAATTTCATTATCAGCAACAAAAAAGTAACTTTCATATCTTCTGTATATTTTTAATGATTTATGGAAAGCTTATAAAATAACTGAGTAATCTCACATAGCCGCGCTATAGAGCACAATACACATTTCTGTTTTGTCAAAGTTAATTTGAAGGGAAGCCTGCGGCATAAATGCTAATAAATGTTTTGTAAACATTAGTGTTGATCAAAATCTATGCACATCAAGTTTTTTTATTTTCTTTGACTAATAAGGTTGATACAGGTTTCAGTAGAGCTTATATTTTCATTTGCAATTTGCCAGCTTTAGCAAAGCTTTAATTTGTTGAGGTGCTTGTATATGACTTGTATTTTCATAAACATTTAGATAATTTAATTCTTCTCCGCAGCAGTGAAGACAGTGCTGAAGTCTTTGGATGACCCAGAAACTGCCGGTTTAATTCTAGAAGAACAAGCAAATGCCTTAAAGAAGATATTAGGTGACCCTTCTGTTCTCAAGCTTATCCGTGCACATGACAAGCTAGAGGAGGGACGCAAGCAAGTTGAAAATCAAGATACTAAACAGCTTGCGAAAGAGGTGTTGGAAGAATTAGAGCCAAAAGTTGCTACAGATAACAATGCAGCAGAATTGTCAGGACTTTTGCAAGAACCACATTTCTTGGTATAGTACATTAAAGCCCAGAAACATGTGTACATTCTGCAATAACAGATTGCAAGCTGATCCCGGGGGGGGGGGGGGTACTCCGCCAGAATTTGGGTAGGGGTGTTCCGCTGGGATTCTGAAAGAGGTACCCTGTTTATGATTAAAAAACTCAAATTTGTGGACTCTGTTTATGATAAAAGACATAATTTATTGCACTGAGTTCCAGTTTCAATATCATGTCATCTCACATATCGTTTTTTTTACGACCATAATAGCCAGAAACTCAGGAAGAACTTGGTACTTGAGTGAAATTGCATACCCTGTTTATGATAAGAAGCTCGAAAAACCATACCCTGTTCAGCGGATCATCCCCGTATAGTCCATATATGGGAGTACCCCCCCCCCCCCCCCCGGAGCTGATCACACCAAAATTAATGCTCATGATCTGCTTGTAATTCAGTACTATTGCGGCATGAAATAGCTAACTGTAATCTTTTATCATATATATTTTCTTTTACACTTTGAAGGCATTAATGGAGTCACATGATGCAGTTGCTTTCAAAACTTATGATTCACCACCTCCTTATTCTGGAATTGAGAATTCAAATGGCTATGGTGGTGGAGAACCAATACGGATGGTTGGGCTTCACAAACAAACCAATGAACATTTAGTAAGTTTTGTTGCAGGTAGAACTTACACTTCAATGGGTTATTCTTACAAGCTAAACATAAGGGTGATAAGGAATTAAATGTTTCCAAAAGCCAATGAAGGTTTTATTGAAGTCCTGACTAATTATATTTACTATATAATGAATTATGAATTACAATTTTGAATATGTACTCTAGGGAATTGTGAACATGAATTTTCTTTTTTAACTGTGTACAATGCTACAGTAGGCAGAGGAACTTTTTACTAAATCTGTAAAGGCTTCAGCAGACATTTAATCACTAATCACCCTAAACGTCATGCTATTACTTTTTAATATTAAATGACACATTATTTTAAGACCCTGAGTGTTTGTCCAGCAGAGCCTTGTACCATGACCTCTGATACCACAAACCAACACCCTCACCAACTGAGCGGACCAGGTGCCCCTAATTGAGGCTCAAAAAAATATGGCCGCCTTGACTTGCAGTAATACACAACCAGTGTTCTTACCAGGCTGCACTATTGCGGGATTTGCACTTAAAAAAACAGAAATGGCACACAAATTTTAACTCTATGCACCCGAGTACTGTCCCAATAATAATAAAGTGTCATTAAAACATGTGTCAAGTAGGATATGTGGAGAACTGTTAACACACTTGAGATTGAAAATATTTGAATGGTCTGCATTCACAGGGTGTGACACTGAAAGTTGATGATGGGCAACTTGTAATATCAAGGATTATCCATGGCGGCATGATTGACAGACAAGGTAAGCTATTTGTTAGTCATTTTTTGTAGTGAAATGTTTTACTGTATAGCTGATACTTTTAATGTCTAATTAGAGAAAAACTTTAAAGATCTATAGAAATTATTTTTTGTTAAGATAGGCTTGCCAGGCATTACAGGCCTTGAGCAAGCTACTGGAAATGATGTAACCTGAGCATCAGGCTCTCTTGGGGGACAGGGAGAGGGGAAGAGCCTGAAACAAATACTATACTGGATGCCTTCTGCCCCTTTTGGCTGGTGTGATGCTCCCCCACCATATAAGCCAATAACATTTTTTTGCTGGTTTGGAGAATGACTTCTCACAACTGTCAAAACTTTGTGCTTAAGTTGTCCTTAACTGCCATGGGAGACTTAGAAACTCCAAAGTTTTCCAAGCTAAGCAATAAAATATGGATTTTGAAATTCTATTGTTCATCTTTGTCATGCTACTTCCAAGTTTTTTTTTCAAGATTATTTTAATGGGTGTTTTTTTTTGAAGGTCTCCTCCATGTTGGAGATATCATAAAAGAAGTTAATGGAAAAGACACTGGTGGAAATGCTGAAGAACTTCAGAATTACTTGGTATTTTTCTTTCTTGTATTTTCTTGTCAGTAATATGTGTCTATAATATTATACATGAACAGTAATTAAGTAGAGTACAAACACTAAGTGTGCAACACTTTGCACTATTTGCACTATGAATAAAACAGATTTTCTCGTGCTCTGTTCAGTAATAAAGCACATAGGAAAAGCTGTTTTATTCATTTTTTTATGTGGATAGTTACTAAGTTTTTTCAGCATTGAATTTGTTAAGAAAGACAGTCTTTGGATCTAGCAGCCATTGGATGGCATCAGCACAGTGCTCCATTCACTAATGAAGCACAGTTTTTGACCAATCAGCATGCATGTGCTATCCTAACTATATAATAATATATAATACATATTTTTTTTACRACAGTCATAATTCCTAGACAAATCAAGTCATTTGGGTTAGAGATGCATGCTTACAGTCAAACTGACTCATGCTTTGCTACACTGTACATGTATCCATGTTTCAATTAATCAGTTTGTTAATCATCTTGCTAGCTTTGAAACTTGCATTAATGAAACAAGCATTTTAAATTTCAATCCAGACCTACATACTAGCAATTACCTCAAAAATTATTGTTCATTTGTGGATGATGTTTTTGAACAATAATTAACCAATTTCTTCCAGTTTTCCATGGTATGTCCTGTTGTTTACCACGATTTTTGTCATCTTGCTGAGGGAGTCCACAACATATTTTGACTGTTAGATGACAAAAAAAGTGATAAATAAGCTCGGACATACCAAGGAAAACTGGAAAAATGCATGAGTGAGTTTGACTGAAATTGCAACCTCCTTTAAATAAAAGTGTATACACTGTATAAATATATGTTTTTGTAAGCCAGACTATATCTGGGGATTGCACTTTACAGCTCATTTTGCTAATATTGTTCTTTCACTTATTTTAGAGCAAGTCAATGGGCAAAATAACCCTAAAAGTTTTGCCAAGTTACCATGAATCACCAGCACTTTGCCAGGTATGTAAGTTGCACTTGATAACAAACCAAAACAACAAACGTGAGTTGGTATATTTTAAACTCATTACCAGTTGAGTGCTAATTTAACCCTTTGAATCAATCTTTGGCATATTTTTCAAATGTTTTCCTCTACTTAATTGAATTTCAAGCTCTAGATAGCAAAAACCATATTTGTAGCATTTGTTATAAATGGAACTTTCCATTGTTTTATGATGATGGAAGAGGGGGAGGGGGGGCTTTACCAGCAGCATGGTTTTCAGGAGGAAGGAAACTAGATCATTCAGCACACTTTCTTTTACCAAATTGTAGCAACTTTAAATTTTGAATGAATGGATTTTTCTTCTTATTTATTTGTTAGATTCTGATGTTTATATTAATGCTATTTTCATAACGTCTCTACCAGTTTAAGTATCATTAAGGAAATCATGGTTTTTTGAAAAGTTTTATTTATGTATAATTGTGTTTAATTTGCCAATAACATTCAAAATGTTATTATTAACTACATATTATCATTAACATAACCCAGTAGGCACTGCGGGTAATAAATTTATAGTCACCTTATTAATTTTTCTTATCAAACCATGTCATATATTATTGAAACAGTTTGTAAACTACTCAGATTAGCACTAAAAAGATTTTATACAACTACATAGGCCAATGAGGAGCAAGTTAGGATAATTAAAGCAAGCAAATATTTGTACTCTCAATGTAAATCATAGTGGACCATAGTGTAGAATGATTGAAGAATTTAGAAGTGTAAGTATTGATGCTTGTATCTGTCTTCCAGGTTTATGTCAGGGCACACTTTTCATATGACCCTACTAAGGATGATCTCATTCCTTGTGCTGATGCTGGACTAGCATTTGAAAAAGGTGAAGTGCTTCAGATCGTTGATCAAGAAGATCCAAACTGGTGGCAGGTATGATTTATTACATACAATACTGTAGCAATCATTAACGTTTCCATATATGTAGTTCTATGGGAGAATTGCACCAATAGGATGCAGTAAGGAATAAGAGGTGGAGAACATTGCACTTACGATAATCTATAATGTTTTTTATTGGGACCTCTAAATTGATGATAGTGATGATACAGTGGCCATCTTGCCAGGGGGCACAACCAAAGAAAGATGACGGGGAATACATTGAGTTTTGTGTGTCTTTCTTTTATGGGTAAACGTGATGGATGTGGAACTTTCTTGTGGTGAGCTGTTAAATATCAATTGACATCATTACTGTAACAAAACTTTATTTACCCCCTGTATGCCTTGTGATCCAAGATGGCTGCCATATACATGTAGATGAAGTCCAGCCCATTTTTTACTATATGTGGAAGTGTGTAAAAAACTTTTGAATTTTGACAAAGAACAAGCTAATGTTTCATGTCTGTTTTCAGGCAAAACGAGTGGGCAGTAGCAAGGAGGCAGGGATCATTCCAAGCCAAATATATGAAGAAAGGTATGTCTTTTGATTTATCCAAAGCTCTATTAAACATGGTTAATCATAAAAAAATCTTATTCGTCTTTAATACTGAATGTTTCTATTAATGATTTAGGAGAAGAGCTGGGGTGAAAAAGCCTAAATCAGGAGGTGGTTTCTGTAAGTATAAAGACAAAAACACACATGACATTATTAGATCATTGGATTTCCATGCAATAAATTGACAATTTTAATAAACAGACTTTGAGATACGATTTTCACTAGTTCATTTGCATGGTCATTGTCAGCTGAGTTGACCTTCAGAACAAACTCAAGGTCCACCAATGAGAATTGAGGATTCAACATCATATTTTGATTAGCATTACCCATGAAAGAGAGAGCCCATGAAGTATGAATTTTTTATTCATCTTTAAATTTATTGTACATGCTACTAGTTGAACTCATGGCTGAATGTGTAGTTCATTCAACACAGGAAATCTACATTGTAYTCAGACCCTGCTACGAAAATGCTAACCAAAAATAGCAGTTATTATGGATGCATGCAAATGGGATGCAAATGAGGCAGCAAGCATTGTATTGGCCCAATAGCCTCACCTGTATGATTCTTAAAACAAAAGGATATCTCATTATGGGCCCAGCTATTGGGTGGAGCCAGGAATTCGTAATAGAGGGGTCCACACGTATACTTCATAAAAAACTTCAAACCTGTGGCAAAACTAAGTATAACTATGGCTTCCATCCTTTTTGTGTCAACTATTTTATTATTCACAAACTTTTTCCATTTCATTACTGCACAGTGTGTGGTAGTAAGAAGAAACAGAAGATGATGTACACATCTGCCAAAAATTCGGGTTAGTCCTCTCTATGTCTAATCCTATTTTAAGCTTAAAAGATGTTTTCATGCATTTACTGTGCCTAACTATGATTTATTTAATCTCGACACGAAACTACTGTTTCGTGGTCATTCAAGGTCTTTCTCTGTAAGGTGAAGTCCTGTAACCACTGAAAATAATACATTTATCATGACTTTTTGACATATGCTTTCTTTTCCCAGAATTCGACAAACATGAACTAACTTTGTATGAAGAGGTAGCAAGGATGCCGCCATTCAATCGCAAAACACTTATCCTGATTGGTGGGTTGAATATTTCTTTCGTTGACAGCCAAGTCGTATCTAGTAAACCGTTTGTTATTTTAAGGTTTTTAACTACAGCTTGGTGTAACAAGTTAATAAGTTTCTTCTTTAACACGCGCGCCTGTGTGTGTGGGAGGGGAGGGGAGGGGGTACGTAGGACGTCAATGACAATGTTTTTTGAAATAGGTGTATACGTTTAGTCATTGAGTAATTCAAGTACAGTAAATATATGAAATAGAAGATGCACATACAATTTCAATATAGTCTATATAAACACGTGCCTGGACTGACAGTAAATTAATGCATGCATGATTTAATCGCAATAGGTGCCCAAGGTGTTGGTCGTCGAACATTGAAAAACAAACTTATAATGTCTGATCGAGCAAGATTCGGGACGACTGTTCCTCGTAAGTGTATATAATATGAGAGTATGTGGACCGCGTGGCACTAATGAAATAGTAGAAGATAATATAGGTAAGTTGTAGTGCTTGGGAACGAGGTTATTCCGGGCGAAAGCCCTTGGAATTAATTTTTCCGAATTTAATTCCAAGGGCTTTCGCCCGGAATAACCTCGTTCCCAAGCACTACAACTTACCTATATTATCTTCTGTATATAATATGGCTTTTTTCCTGTATCCATCAAATCTATTTTCCGGTTTTCAGAAGTACCTTTCTTGATTTTTGTTGTTGTTAAAGGTGGAGGACAAATCGTAACTGGCTATTTTGACTTGCATTTGAAACAGCAAAAGATATACTTGATATGCAATACATACACCTTCTTGCAAGAACGTTGTCATACGAGAATAGAACATTAGTAATTTAGTGAAAAAGGAATACATTAAAAGACAAAAGAAAAAGTTCAGCTTCAGTGATCTTCTTCTGTTTTTTTAATATAATTCCTATCCCACTAAATCAGTGCTCTATTTTCGTATGACGTTCCTGCAAGTAGGTGTACACCCCTCAACTATTATGCTGATAACACTATGAATTGTCTATTAATAACGTGTCTGTCGATTTTCTAGATACCAGCCGACAGCCTCGCGAGGGAGAACAGAATGGACAAGGATACTTTTTTGTGGCTCGAGAGGAAATGGAGCGTGACATACGCGCTGGTAAATACATCGAGTATGGAGAGTACGATGGTAACCTGTACGGAACTAAAATCGATACCATTAGGGAAATCATGCGATCTGGAAAGATGTGCTTTCTGGATGTCAACCCAACGGTATGTTGTGTTAGACGTTGTAACTGTATATTGTACGAATCGTGGTGGGGAAATATGTGTGAATTTAATAAATAACAGAAAAAAAGTTTTGTTTTGAGAAAATCTTTTTCAAAAAATTTTTCAAAAATGCCTTCACTGCTATATTCGTCTGTAGGTGAATATAACAACATCAGTCGTAAATTGTGACCAATGAGCGCGCCGGATTTCTTATATTCACTTGTGCAARAATACCAACTATAATATTAGCAATTAATACTAAATTACTTAATTTACGCGTGGTTAATTTTATACTATCTTTTATTGTTCATTCCAGGCACTGAAAGTCCTTAAAACACCAGAATTCATGCCATACATCGTTTTCCTTGCTGCTCCAAAGTTTGAAACATTAAAAGAAATAAACCAACAAGCCCTTTCAAAAGGCACGACAAACAAGAAGCGATCGGTAAGTCACTTATGTTTGTACCACAGGAAGCGTCTTTTGGTTTAAAATGTTTCCCCTTACATTTCACGCTCCGTGAATTCGACATCATATCATCCATACAGAATGTTTCCTTTATTCTCGTACACGTGTCTGTATAGCAGAAACGAATCGGTTGTCATGGTATTCGCTAACGCCATTGCTTCTTTTGATGTTTTCAGGACGAAGAACTCCGAAACGTAGTCGCCGAATCGGAACGCCTCTACAATTTATACTCTCATTACTTTGACTTGACCCTCGTTAATACTGATATGGATGCAACCTTTCAAAAACTAGAGGATGCAATCGACGCTCTTAGCACTGAACCACAGTGGGTTCCTGTTAGTTGGGTCTATTAATGCGAAAAYTGATTTCCACGTAAAGACTTCAGTCGTTTGATAAAGATAAAGTTAGCTGCTTTTCTAGAAAATACTTTTTTTTCGTTGTCTGGCCTGCGCATTAGGAAAGTTGCATGTTTGGATGATAAGCGTTGTGTAGCAATGTAATCTTCTAGTTATGATCTTTGAGAAAATTAAGAAAGATCGCATATCTAGTTACTATTTTTCAAAATCAGAATTGTTTCTTGTAAAAGATAAATCAAGTCTAAGTCATTAGCGGTATCTGTGATAATAACTGGGCCTTAACCAGATTTAAAACTCGAAATCTAAAACAAATTGGGATTTTTAGATTCCACTGCGGCTCGTTCTGATGTTAAGATGTGCTTGTTGAATAGGCCATTTGCACGAATAGATAACTTGTTTCCGTCTTCTTTTACCAAGCAGTTGTGTTAAAATCAACCATACAAAAGGCTATGAAGTGAAAGAACAGTTTCAGGCTACCCATCCATCACATGTGCATTTATCATACATCGGTTCTAGCAAAATATTCGTTAGATTTAATGCTATTGCTGCAGAATCACGTTTTTACTAGTAGTATGAGCTCAAGTGTTGGCTTTTAAGCAACATCTAAGTGTCTGTTTTGACGCAGCTGCTTGGTTGGGGTGTGAGGTGAGAGGAGGGGTCGCATGACCTATTAGTGCAAATGGTCCATTCTTGGGTCATTGTACCTTGTTATCTTGAATATTTTAAAGAGTTTTGCTACATAATTAGTTTATGTAATGCATGATATAAATAACAGGTCCATGTAAAGCATACACTAGCACAACATGAATTAAAAGTTTGAGACCCAATTACTTTTCTCAATCCAAACACCTCGTTCTGTATTTTAAGTTTTCAATGGATGGATTCAGAATAACCCGATACAGTCCCAGTCTCTCAAGACTCTCGTGAGCAACAGTCCAAACAATCTAGTCCACTCGCATTGGATCGCAAGTGGTGGTATATAATTATTGATATCACGCTAGCGTAGCGCACGTGCTTTCCTTAGAAGAAGCAAGTCGTGAAGAACATGCATTTTCCTAATTTACCACGAGTCTATTTTCCCGATTTATTCTGATAGTGTTGCTAATTCTATCTGTGTGGCTGTTCTGTGGCTTTGTCATTTACAGCTGTTCTGAAATAGTGACGTATAAACGACGTCACTGAAAAACATGTTATTAAGCCCGTAAGAATGTTTTTGGACAGCGAAAGATAAAAATGCTTGCCATTGCAATAAAAAGTTGGAAAGAGAGTCGACCGACCGACCGACCGACCGACCGACCGACCGACCGACCCACCCACCCAACCCAACAGCCCAACAACCCAACCAACCAACCATGAATTGCGTTTTTTGTCCTTTCAACTGGCGACTATTGGCATCAAAGCTATTCTATTACACATGCAGAGGAACCATGCAATTAGGGGCATTACTTGCAAGCAATATAATATGGTCCAGTCAGTTAGCAGCAGTATCGGCGATTCGACTCACCTATGGTACATGACGTACATGACAGTACCATACCAACTCATGGGATACTGATCAGTACACTGAACTGGGCCATCGTGTTTGGCAAGTAAATTGAATCATATATCATATTAAAATCAACTACTGACACAAAACTAACCTGGAGTAGAATCGCTCTCCCACCTACATTTCCGATTCTTGCATTTACATGTCTATAAAAAATGAAATAAAAAAGGAAGGAAAAATTATTATTTATTTGGCGTCGTAGGTGGCCTGATGGGCTGGTTCGCATATAGAGGCAACGGAAAAACAAAGGAAAGACGAGGAACTGTTTATTTCTAGTAGTACAGATGTTTACTGATTCGCGACTTAATTTGACACCATATAAATAGAAAGATCTACTCCCCCACCCACAATAAACGTTAACGTACTTCTAAAGTCGTCTAAGCATAGGTGTTACCTGTTCGAAAACGAGCACAGAATTTATAACATGTCACACAGGAAAGATGATTAAGGAATATAAAACGCGCTCGCATGCCTCTGTACTGTCATATAAACACGCTGGGAGCTGTAGAGCACGAAAGAAGCAAGTTTTAAAATTATACGAAGAGGTGTAGCCAGTGTTTTTCTCGCTTTGCGAGTGCTCTACAGCTCCCGGAGTGTTTTATCACAGTACAGAGACATAAGCAGCCGTTGTATATTACTCTCATAATATTTTTATAACCAATTTTGAACGATTTCACCCTTTGCGAGCGTATCTCTGTCCTTTGATACAAACACAGTAGTCGGGACCTTCTCGTGATATCCAGGTGCTCTTGTTATTTGACCAGTCGTCGATTTAATAAGGGGGGGGGGGGGGGGGGGGGGGGGGGGAAGGAGGGTTGGTCACGTGACCTGCCATATTGGTGACAGACATCGTAATATTCAAGTCAAGATACTTAATTTAATCGTTCTAATTTGTCTCGAAATTTTTCAGCTCATTACTACATGCATAGAGTTAGCTTAGGCCATTTACGACTGAAATACAACTAAAGAATAATAGGCACTACATAAATTTTCGTCAGGAATTATAAATATCTTGAAAAAAATTACACCGATGACATTCACAGTGGATTAAACACCTTTTGAAGAACATCACGTGACTGTTACTGACTGGCAAAAAAAAAAGTTGGATTTGGATATAGCAAAGCAATTAAAGAAAATCAGTAGGCATAAGCATAAGGCATAATTACTCATTGTTTCGTAGTCGCCAATTTACGAGGAAAGCACTATAGKAATTCTTCTTTAAGCCAAAAACCTTTTGGTACGGTATACATAAAGCTGTCTCGGCGACCGATAGACTTAGGCCCCGTCCACACGTATACGGAAATTTTTGTATCCGCAATTTTTTTTTGCRGATACGAAAATGTTCGCGTCCACAGGCAGCGTATTCGAATCGTTTTCACTGTCCACACGTATCCGGAAATTTCTTGATCCGCCATGATGCACGTTAGTGCCTAGTCCCTTTGACGGATAGTTTTTCTTATTGAGCATGCGCAAAATCGTGTTTATGTCAGTGTATTCGAAAATTTGCGGATACGACCGTCCACACGTATCCGTATTCGGAGYGTATTCGAAAATTTCCACTCTGGAGACCGTTTTTTTTTTACAAAAATTTCCACGTGTGGACGTGTGGACGCAACCCATATCCGCAAAAAAAAAAAAGAAAAGAAAAAAGCGGATACAAAAATTTCCGGACACGTGTGGACGGGACCTTAGTAGAACTACAGGGCTATCCATGTTCAGGACGTTCCCAGATTTTCTTTTAGTTAAATAAAAACAGTATATCTAAAAAATAAGGTAAGCAGTTAAATCAATTGCCTTATGCAGAATTTAATTCCGATTCAAAATAGAGTTAAGGAATATGGGGTGTCCCAACTTGATTTTCCGACCTGGGTGTACCGGGTCGACTTGGTTTTCGAGACAAGTACCTTCTAAATCGATTCTAAGGGAAGGTGCTTTTTTTTGCGGATCAAGAAAAATGCCAAATTTTGTGGAGGGTTAAACCTTTCTGTTTAAACGAATAGGGCAGGGTTGACTCGATAGGAAAGTCATTAATTTCCTACTGAGCGAAAGGTGCAGGGCTACAACCAGTTTTAAAATTTTACTGCGAATCTCCAAGCTCCCTTCCCCCTTAATTAAAAACGTGAATTTGGCGTTCACAATAAGACCAACATGTGCAGGCCAGCTAAAGCACTATGTTTTTTACCCATAGCCACTAAACTATTGAACCTTCAAATAATATTGAAAGTTTTACGTTTGCATCGACGCCGATCTTTGGTTGGCTCAGTCTTATTTAGGGGTTCCTGAAGGGGTTAAAATGGGAGCTAGGATTCGCACTATGTGCTGGGAAACTGACGATATTTTATGCACTGGAAATGGGATGCACAAACAATAAAACAATCACGAAATGGGAATGAGATTTGAGCAAACATGTACATAGGCTGGGACTATGGTATTTGGGAATGGGGGTTGGAAAAATGAAATTAGCCCCCCCCCCCCCTTAGGACCCTCAATTTAACTTTTTTGTCGAATATTCAACTGCTTCATTGTCAACCTTTGTCGACTCGCAAGCCTTTCGTATGAAGTCAATCGGGATTGGGATGGTGCTTGATTTCCTTCGAAACTTGTTTCTTTTAACGAACTATTCCTTTTATTTTTATTTTAACAAAATCATATCCGTGATCATAGATAAAAAAGAAAAGCTAGATGCTTCAACCGAGAACTTCCGCGAAAATGCATAGAACATATATCTGTTAAAGAATTCAAAAGACTTTATTTTTYTATTGCTGGAATATGACGGCATCTAGTTGGCCATTACCAATGGTGACAGAGTCGTGCACCTTCTTCACAGAAAAACGTATTACTTTGTTTGGGAACTAACATGAACAAAAAGTGAATAAGAGAAAGGTTTTGAGAACTTTACATTGAATAAACTCTACCGAGTTATGAATAATACCAATCTGACAAGTAATAGTATTAAACTTTCTTTCGCTTTTCGAAAGAAACAAGAAAATCTTCGCACAAAATAGTTCGTAACTCGAATGCTAAAAAAATGCTACGAAAGGTAAGTTTTCATTCATCTTTGCGAACTCGACACGATGTCATAATACGCATAGATTTATTTACAAACATTTTGTTGTCAGATCGTTCAAAGCCGTGCCATGTTTACAATTCGCTTAAGATTCTTGTCAGTTATATTGCACTTTCTTTATCGTTTCGTCTGTTCTTACCGTTTAAAAATCTTCTTGAATACRTTCTTTTTAAAAATGCCATCGTTATCTCAGTAGTCAGTTGTTTGCCCATCATATGAGTTTGCACATGAAAATCTCAATGAAATCTGGCGGCCGCTTTTTCGCGTTAAAATTGCCATAATTCTTCAGTTTTTAATTCATGTACTATCCAAAACCTCCATTCCTTTCCTTGATACAGTCTTGTATTTTCTACAATCGATTTTTAAAAAATTTTTAGAGAACAAGCAGAGATTTGGACGAAACTTGAGCATGCATTTGTTTGTTTTTCGCTACTCGCTAACTATCAAAGATAGATAGCGAGTACGTTAGCCAATAAAATTGCAGGATTCGTGATAGTATGCTAGTAGGTTTATGCTAAAGACAGATACATTCGCTTCATTAGGGCATATAGTTCGTTCTTCACGCATGTTTTCTTTTTCCTAAAGGCTTGATACGGCAAACAAACGATCGAAACAACAACTTATTCATATGCTTTTTGCAATTAAATCTCCCCTTGCAAATAGCGATATTCCTGCTCGACTGATATGTTTCGAGTTAATGGTGCACTTTAATGGGGTTTATTCTGTGGCTTGGTCAGGTAAAGAAATCGAGAAATCTTTCCAGTGTGTTAGGAATAACCGACACCTCTAGGCTACTTTGGCTCTCTCCAAATATTTCAATGTCCAAAGGAAAGGGTTAATTCAACTGTTCATTTAAATCCCTTCTTGTCCATCAGCTAGTGCTCCCATTTAAGGATATTTAACGAATTAAAAACATCCGAGCCGTAACAAGTGATAGATGACACGCGGAGTCGAACTAGGAGCGGCCTCTTGCTTAGATGTCAGCTCAGTTACCAATATGGCCACACTTTTTCTTTGCTCTCTCATTGCGTAATCGTTTCTCGAACGTGCAGAAACCATGCAGGTAAAGTGATTGCAGTAATTTCGAATCTTTTGCTTCTATTTTGACACGGGTCTCACTCTCTCTTAGCCGTTTATTTTCAAACCTATATTTGTTTTCATATGTACAGCTTTTACCGTTGGCAGTTGATGATACCGGCAAAATACCTGTCCGTTTTCACGCAGTCGCTTCGAAATATTGTTATTCTTACATCAATGAACACTTCGATTCTTTTATTGACGTATCACCTTTGTTTTCTCGTTTTTAAAGCTTTTTGAAACTGAATCGCCGAATAACAAACCCAGATCGCTCAATGAATGGCATCGCCTTTCACAGTTTTCGTCATCGGCAGTTATATTTTCAGGTCCGCAGATTTTTTTTCTTTTTCTGTTTGACAATAAGTACCACAATTATATTTAATCACTTACCTTAAAAGAAAGAACCACCAATGCTGCTCATGTTTCTTGTTGTGCTGATCTTGAGTTTGCCATGCAACACTACCTCATACTTATATCACCATGTCTTTTAAAGGCAGGTTCGGGGAATGGGGATTCTTTTATTCAGGTTTTCAAACATTTTGTTGGTATTTTAAACGAAATTGAAAGAAGCAGTCACTCTTTTAGATATTTTACTTTGCTGAATTACATTTATATCAATAATTGAAGTTTTCTTTATTCTTTTTTTATTGATAGCCAACAAATTACTATCAAAAAAATCTGTCTCGTTCAAAGTGTGGTGGTAAGGCCAGTAGATTTACCTCAAATGATAAATCCCGTATTGTCAGGTCTAATTTTTGCAAGCAATCAAAAAGCTGGCAGCTTTCGTAAATAGTGCTTTCTACAAGTGCTGCTCATTTACCTTTCCTGCTTTGCTTATTGTGAGTGAAAATATCCTTATAGCTTTAATACATTGCTGAATATCAGTTCTCTATTATCATACATGCAATCTCCTACAATGGAACTTCAAAATACAGTCATATTTTCTATTAGCGATATTATGCCTTTTATACAATAACATGAAGATAAAACAAAATTTTTAAATATTTCTTTTCATAACTTAAGTAGTAAACATTAAGAGAGAGCATTAGTGAGAGCATCAGAAACTGAAAACAGTACGCTCYCTCCAGGACTTGTGACAGCTTTATCTAAAAGGCAAAAAATGAATGTTACTCGGTCACTGATCATACGTCTAACTACCATAAATGGCACCTCTCTTGCCCATTGTTATCATTACTATATATTCTTACCTTGCCTGGAGGAACTATTCTAAGATTGTTAATGTTCAGGAATTTTAGCATTTGGGTCTGTTAGAAGACTCCAGTCTGTCCCAATACAAAACCCGATTCTCCTTCGGTGTTCCATGTGTTTTCCTTCTTCTATATCGGCCCAACGAACCTTTAAAAGCAAAAGTAATCGAATTTAGTACTGATTTATTGGCTTTGCCGGACTAAGGAGTTCAAGATGACTTCTGTACTACAGTATCAGAAGCACAGTCTTCACCCATCACAATTTAAAACAGGGTTCATGTTTTAGACTCTGGGATCGTTAGAAAGGCGAACTTCATTGGAAAGTGACCCCAAGTGACTCGACATTATAGATCCATYGGGCTTTTTCCGTCAAATCTGTGGCAAACCGAATCGTTTTTATTTTATTTAACCTATTCTTACGAGGGTTAACTAGCTTATTTTGTAGAAGAAACTTAGTTATATTGGACTGTAGCGAGCAATCAGTTATTTGCAGATATTTTGTGGAAAAACAAGTCAATAACTACTTATCATTGGATGGGCTGCCAGTTTACAATTTTGATTTTCAATAAACCTTTTGAAATTAAGCTTATTGTCATCCCATTCAGACCACGTGTCTTTTCATAGAATATTTTTCTTTGTCTAACGGTTATGCAATAGAAGACAAATCAATATGGATATACAACTCAACCAAGGAACCCTATTTCAAAAAAAATGAAACGTAGTCTTAAATGTGAAAACATTTTGTCTAAGTTGAAAATGCCTACCGTATTTACTCGAATAAGCACCTCCCCCGAATAAGTACCTCCCCCGAATAAGCGCCTCTCCGGAATAAGCGTCCCCTTTGGACAAAAAAATTAATAAGCGCCTCCCCCGAATAAGCGCCTCGCACCTTAAGGGGGCGCTTCCTCTCGTTATAGTATACTAATACCAGTACTGTTGTGGTAGTATAACATTGATATTAAAAGAAAAGCATACTTTAACAGTTGTGTAAGCGTTTCCTCCCGTTAAACGAATAAGCGCCTCGCCCCGAATAAGCGCCTCGCACCTTAAAGGGGCGCTTCTTCTCGTTATAGTATACTAATACCAGTACTGTCGTGGTAGTATAACATTGATATTAAAAGAAAAGCATACTTTGGCAGTTGAATAAGCGTTTCCTCCCGTTAAATAAGCGCCTTCCTCGAATAAGCGCCTCCGAATAAGCGCCTCCGAATAAGCGCCTCCGAATAAGCGCACCGTTTTAGACGTGAAAAATTTAATAAGCGCCGGGGCGCTTATTTGACTAATACGGTATTCCCTTTTTTTTTTCGATTTTCATTTTCTCCTCCAAAAGGTCCAGGAAAACCTCCCGCCACGCATAAAAACCTTAGTTAACCCATGCAATGACACTTGATCCGCTTCAGTTATTGTATATACGTACCCTCTTCTTTCCAATTCTCATATCTTCTTCCTTTTCATCGTAAGGATCCTCGTCATCACTAAGTGTAAGGGGAGGGGAGGCTTCTCTTCTTCTTTTTAGGGGACGTATTCCATCGAGTTTGTCTAGATAAAGAAAATAACAGAGTTCTGACCCCAACTTTATGTTTATTCCACACTTAGGTCACGTTTCCAAAAGCCGAGGTAAGAATGAAAAATAAACGAGGAATTATGCAGATCGTTGTTCAAACAAGAAAGACCGGCTGTTTTTCTATGATAATGGTCTTCTGYAGGATGATTTTTGAGATATTTCACCATATATTACCCAATCAAAAGTAAAAGCAACGTCCTTGAAATTTGAAGGGATTAAATAACGTGAAATGTCAATCTTGCGCCTGCAACATGCAGTGCACCATTCGAGTTGGAACGCAAGGATAGATGACAATCGTGCTATATTGATTGGTTCTTACTTAGTTGTGCTTCCGCTGAACTGTCCACGTCATCCCACTTGCTTCTTTGAGGTAGCTGTATCCGAGACTGAAATAGCAGTGTATTCATGAAACATTTTTTGCACGGTTTCTAACACATATACACACCTGATATACATACTACCATGTCAATTGGTTCATCTTGCCGGGAAGCCACAATGCACAGTACGACATGTAAGCTCACATGGGACTGCACATGCACATAAAGAAAACTATATCTACGCATGATTCCAATGTATCTCCAGTCTAATTCTCAACAATAAATAACGACATATTGTAGTAATGACAGGCATATTAACATGCGTTTAAATGACATATTCAACAAGCAACACTCAAATACGTAAGTTCCAAAATTAAGAAGGTATTTTTTTAGTATAATTCTCTGGCCAATGGATCTGCTTTCCGGTCAAAATCTTTTATACATTCGGTGTCGTTCACCCAATGCAAAATAACTATTCATAGTTCCAAGTATCACTAATATCAATAGGCTACTTGGATACCATTTTCATTTTATTAGAATAAGCAACTTTGCTTGTTCTAAATCTTTTTACTTTTTTTCAATTACCTTTTTTTAAGTAATAATTTATTATTTTCGTTTGATAATCTTGAAAATCAAAATGGAAGCAAAAATGTCTATTCTTCGATTGCACGTTACGTCATCGCGGCCATGTTGGTGCCATTTAACAAAAGATTTYTCATTAGCATCCATTGTTAACGGCAACACAATGGCCGCCATGTTTTTGTCTTTTGACTCTCTTGGGAATGCTTGAAACCTATCAATAGTCTGACACTTAACATTCCTGTTCTGTCAACGACTTCTCAATGTTACGTGTCACATTTTAATGAGTTGATTTTAAGGTCTGGCCTAWTTACCAGTCATGGATGCTATATGGAAAAGATTAAAACATCCAAGAGGTTTTTCTTATGTTTTAGAAGCTCATACATAAAACCAATTTGTGAAACGAATCGTTTTTTGATGTGTGATGACGTCATCATGCCTACGCAATTTATGACGTCACATTTCAATCAAAATTGAAAAAACAAGCGTGCATTTGGTCGTCATTTTTCATAAACTTTTTAAAAAAACAATTGTGCATTTGGTTATTTAAATTTTTTTCACCATTTTCAGCTATACCATACTGTGTAAAACCGACCAAATGTAGCTGTTTTTTTATTTTTTAATGAAATATGACGTCATAAATAGGCGTGCTGACGTCATCACACATATCAGAAAACAATCCAGCTTAAAACTAAAGAAAAACCTCTTACAAATTTTAAACCTTTCCATAGCAACCGCGGCTGGTGAATAGGTAAGACCCCCCTCAATGTGTTACTGTGTTCACTTATTTTTGCTTCAGTTTCTTGTCAAATTTCAGATGTGCAATCCAAAATCTAGTCAATCATACCYTTAGAAGAATTCAAGCACTTCTTCTCTTGTTTGCTGTGGAATAAAATAGTCATATTGTCTTCCCCTACCTTAAATGTTCCCTCTTCCTCTTCTTCCGCGTTATCTTCATTGCCTTCAGATTTGCCTAGTTCCTTTGTAAGATTTGGAGATGTAATTTCGTCTGCAGTTTCCATTTCAACCTAATAAGATAATAAATATACCATTATATGTGACTGTGTTTTTCAATCAATGTTGTCAAGTCTTTATATGAGTTGAAACGCCAGTCAAAATACTACTAGGAACCAAAGTCGTAAGGCCTTGCGCTTCCAACAGGTTCTCAACCTCTGATGTAACACTCGCATTCATTTTATTTGCGCTAATATATAATGATTTATGAATTATGAATTACATAGCGCCTTTTCTATATGGATATAATCAAGGGCGCTTTACATTGAGTTGTTAATGACAGATTGCTTTTATGCAATTTACAAGCATGAGAGATGGTTAGTATAAAGTGTAGGCACTGAGGGTGGTCACTGCCAGGATTTCTTTACGTCCTCAGTGGTTCTTTTACGTCCCTCCGATATTGGTTAGTAATAATGAAGTGTGGAGAGACGGAACCGCCATTTAAAGTGGTCATCCGAGCCATTTGAAAGTCTAACCATTTGCAGATGTGATTACAAAGGCAGCATTTTCTCCTCAGTTATTTTAAGACCCTGAGTGTTGGTCCGGCCAAGGCTTGAACCACGACCTCCCGCACGAAAGTCCGATGCTCAACCAACTGAATCAACCGGTTGGCGGTAGAACATATTACATATCACAGCTAAGCTGAGAGATTTATCGAACAAGCATGAAGTTGAAATATTGCCATTTACCTCTGTTATTACCGCATCTTGTAAAAGAGACCGCACATCCAGTCTCAGCATGTGGGTTGGACTTTCTTTCCATTCACTTTGGATCTAGGTTTTAAAAAAAACCCGTTGGATTTCAGCACAAAAAAGGACGTCTGGTGTTCATTACTATGCAACTTAATATACAGTATGTGTCGAGTGCATTTTTAACTCGTAGATACGCGAAGCGTAGAAACGAGTTATTGTGAGGGGTCTGAATATGCAAATGTGTCACTCGCTCACTCGCTCACTAAGATGTTATTTCATCTAAAGCTGGTTCTATGAAACTCGGTCCTCCTTAAAGGGGCACTTGGATGAAAGTGGATAAAAAATGGAAATGACTTTAAACTTAATCAAACGTATCTATATGGCCCCAATCGTAGCTAAGCAAAATATTTTCTTCACAGTAAAATGTCTCAGATAAAAATTATCAATTTTATTCAGCATCTAAATTGTGAATAAATGACGCCATTTACTCAACCCTATTGTTCTTTTCTCTTTGAACCCAAAATTTTTCAACTGCAAGTGGCTCCCAGGCGAAAATTTTCACTAATCTGGTTTACATAATCATAATTGAGTCAAATTATCTTCAAATACTTCAATTATTCGGACTTATTCGGAAAATTGGGGCGTTTTCATCCAAGTGCCCCTTTAAAGACAGACTCTGCGGTTTAGAACAACCTTTTCATGGGTTTTACCGATTGCGCATCCCTTTCTCAGCAAATATCAAATATTGTTATTCATAGAAACAACATTTCTACAGAATTACCTTGCTAATTTCTTCAAAGGTACGACCATGGCTGTTCCTCTTGGCACAAACGTGAGAATCTGCCGATAACTCAGCAATGTATACCTATTAATGATAAGAAGCTTTTAGAAACATCTGAATATAAAGCACATGCACAACTCAAACGCACTTCTAAGTAAAACAGTGACATCTGGTGCATCTGGTGCATCTGGTGCATCTGGTGCATCTGGTGCATCTGGTGCATCTGGTGCAATGGATCTTAAGCATACAATAACCTCATTGAAATAACACTGGGCAGCATACCTCAAATCCCTTCTGCTTTGCAAGACTCCAGTACTTTTCAAAATGTTCCACCTTTAAACGATAATAATATGTCAAAAGCAAATAATATTATAGGAAAAAAAATCAAACAAATAAACGAACAAACAAACAAAAAAACATCCAACACCCCACAAGCTGAGTCAGTTAGGTATAACGATTATCATTTTGGTTATTAAGTATTACATATTGCTGTTAAGCTCAACTCTTGAATAGCTAGCTGCATTGTGCATGAACGGCTCAGGCGTACTCGCTAGAACCCATTAATGATCATTGAGTTGATTATTTAATCTGAGTTCACATTAATAGAACAGCAGACTCCATACTTCAAAATAAATTCTAAAAAAATATTAGAATTCTTAAAGCTGGAAACATAATGAATAGTCCTCTTCACAGTTCCCTACGCCATCTTGAAAGGTAGCCGTGCCTTTGCATCGAAGGGAGACGAACGGTGAGCATGCAATGATAGAGACCTTTTTTTAACACCTTCAACAATTATTCACATGTCTCTATCATTGCAAGCTCACTGTTCGTCTCGCTTCGATGCAAAGGCATGGCTACCTTTCAAGATGGCGCAGGGAACTGTGAAGGGGACTATGTACCTTGTTATTAATGGCATCCACTATGACAACAGGAAAAAACCCATCTTCAAGAGTCTTGGAAAAGGATTTAAACATACTGGCTCTGTATGAATCTTCCATTTCAGCTTCATATAGATACTCAGTAACCTAAGTATTCGAAATTGTAAATTATATCTTCTCAGGCTAGAATAATTGAATGTGGAAAATGAACAATCTAAAGGCGCTGAAATACGAGACACAAAAACGTCCAACTTGTCGCGCAACATTGTTGCGGTGCAAGTTCGAAAACAACGTTGCTCGTTTTACACCCTATCTATCCAACTTGTTACGCAAGAAAATCTAATGTTGCAAGTTGGGACTATCACAGTGATATTCTGCACGCTGATTGGCTACAAGCTACATAATTCAAGATGGCGGCCGCTTCTGCACATAAAATGTTGCGTGACAAGTTGTACGAGTGACGAAAAACGAGCAACAAATCGCAAATTTGTTGCAGAAAGTTGAACCACGTTCTACTTTTCGTAACAAGTTTTCCCAACTTGCAACAAAAGATTTTGTTGCATGACAAGTTGGATAGATAGGGTGTAAAACCAGCAACATTGTTTTCGAACTTGCACCGCAACAATGTTGCGCGACAAGTTGGACGTTTTTGTGTCTCGTATTTCAGCGCCTTCAACAAGTATCTCTAACAGGGCAAGAGCGCGAATTGAAGTAATCCAAAGAAGAAAGAGTTTGCAAGACCATTTTCAACTTGTTAACAAACACAGGAAAACTGATGAAAGCAAGAGACCACATACTCATTAAAGCATCACGTGAATAACAAAGGTCACGCATCAACTTGACGGCGGGCCACAAAACTGAAAAATGCAAATCCAGTAAAATTAAGAAGAAAGTTTTAYTTTTAAAGAGGAGATTAATCGATTTTATGAATTCTCATTGGAAAAAAAAAAAAAAAAAAGCAATGCATGATGATACTCGTGTTCTGGTATCGTGGCCCGTCAAGTTCCTTAAATTTGAATGCGCACGCAACCTTGAGAAAACGCGTCTATTGTAAGTTCATTTACAAAGGGGTTGACCAAAAAGCTTCCATTTTGTGGAAACCCTGATATTGACCTTGGTATTCCTTGGTATTGTTTGCAGGAACAACGCTTTTCAAACAGTATGTGATTTCTTCACATATAGTCATTTTTAACCCATTCTGCTTGATTACTGATGACAACCAAAAAGAAAACTCGCAAACAAATCCTTCTTTTTCTTCTTCTTCACTATAATTTTAGAATTATTTATTGTTAATTTTTGTTAATTATGTTTAAGTTTGGCAAGTTTTACACAAACTAAATAGTTCTTCCTCACAGAACAAACTATCCCCCAATATTCCCTTAACCAAAATTAACGCATTGTTTCAACTTGAGCGAAGGATTAAAAACGTCTAAAAATTCAAGGAATTTATGTCCACGCACTATATCGATATCATTACCTTCTTTTTAATTCTTTTTCCAGTATCTGGGTCTTTTTCTTGCTTCTCAACCTCAGTGAGGAAATAATCATCTAGGCTAATGATACGAGGCGCATGTGCTTCATTACATGCTTCTTTGTCCTATATTAGATACAAGAATACAAGACAGTGCAAAAATTAGGCAAGTCAAACAACATTTTTGACTTTTACCCCTGATATAGACCAAATTCAAAACTCGCACCGATGTSAGGCTTAAGTTGTGAACAAAGGAATCTGGCGTGATTCGTGACTTTTGAATCACGCCAGATTACTTTGAGTCACGCCAGATCCCTTTGTTCACAACTTAAACCTCACATCGGTGCGAGTTTTTAATTTGGTCTATAGATCGATATTAATTATATGCACTAGAAATCAAGAATTGAAAAAGCTAGGTAACATCAGTTATTGATCTATCCACTGTGAACAGATTTATATTCTATAGTTAGAGGTCAAATTGATGATCCCGTATGTAATTTTGAATTTGTAGATTTTGGTTGTCTTTTTTCTTTTCTTTTTCTTTCTTATTTGCTTGGGATCTAATATGGATACCGCCCTGGGAAGACACTTGTTTTATGACCTTGGATCTTCAGCCTAATGTTTTTATCCACCCTATACTATATTTCTGCTAATGCATGCCTCTTCAATTTGTCAAACAATAGTATACAATTTATAACAGGCATAACTAATGAATACCTTAACTAAAATAATTGATTTGCAAATGTGAGCAAATCTTACTAATGATATTTGTTCCCTCTAATGAGCATGACTATTCATCTTTACCTTAACGAGTCTTGCAACATGTGTCTTTCCACTTCCAGGTAGGCCTCTTAGAATAATGACAATCTGGTAAACAATAGTCCAATGAGATTATGAGTTTTGCAGCAAAATTATTGTTTTGATTTAAATTCAAAATACGTAGTTTTTTGACTTTTCAACTACTGAGAGTTTGATTTAAGCCAAGAACTTGCACATGCTCCAAAAATACCAAAATACAATGGCAACCTTCAAAAAAATATAATTCAGTAACAATACACATTTAGAACTTCAAGAAGACAAAACCCTGAAAAATTGGCACAGGACTAACTCCAAGATTACATTTAAAAAAAATTTGTGACAAAGTTAATATAAAATGACATGGGCCATGATAACTTGAAGTGTATATCAAGGATAAAATCTTATTTTCAAAATCACTTATATGTGATTAGTGTAGTAGTATGGTTGCAGTATTTTTGTATGTAAAATTGTTTTTTAGGAGATATAAACATTTGAACATATCGATATGCAATTGAGATGACGTAAATTCAAGACTAATTTATCATACAAAAATGCTGTATTGGAAAGTACTGTTGTTTTTTCATTTGCAAATCATACGTATAACTGAAATATATAACTTTGTACCCTTTTAGGTTATTTTAATTCAGAACACTTGTCCTAAATTACACTTCAAAACGTAACCCATTCTGGAATTTACGTCATCTTATTTGCATATTGATATTTCAAATGCTTATTTCTCTGAAAAGAGAACACTACTACACTATTCATATATAAGTGATGTTGAAAATAAGATTTTATCCTTGATATACACTTTAATGTAACAATCATAATTTGGGTAACTTTTGATTACCATGACTAAGATTTTTTTCATACACACTTTCTCTACATACAATTCTTGGTACTTGCTTGTTTTAATCGTGATTTAGAATTGAAATCAGCATTAAAATTGGATTAAAAGGAATTGTGATTCAAAACTTTTTTAATGCATTTTTTCAACAGTAAGTAGGCCTTTGAATCAATCAAACAAACAGTTTTAAACATGTTAGGGATTCATAGTTTTAGACAAAGTATGCTGTAGCTTTCAAGAGCTTGGTACTTGATGAATTAATATCCAAATAATTGCAATCAATTTTGAAACAAGTATGCTGCAACATGGATCAAAACCAAATAATCATTGCTTATGCTCATAGCAAAATCTCAAAGAAACAGTGTTTGCTTACTCTATCAGGCCTTGAATCTCTCCCAGGTTTATCTAAAATAGTTTCTACAGGAACAACAACTGCTCTTGGTTTTTCATGTTGAACTGGTTCTCTAGTAGGGTGATGATCCTGGTATCCAACATCCTCCTGATGACTCCTCCATCCTGGATGTATGTCATCTCTAAAACCCCGCACCCTATCACCATCCTTTCTATCCCAATAGCCATCTCTTCTCTTGTAGTCTGGAGGATTATCTCTGTACCTTTGTCTATCATACATAGGAGATCTAGAAGGATCTACAGGCGGTGACAGGCTCCTTCTATGGTGCCCATAATCCTCACGATATCTGTCTGATTGGAGATCAGCAAATGGTTGATCTCTCCCTAAAAAAATGTTATAATTATTATTATTACCAAGTGTTTTGTAAACCTAAAATAAAAAAGCCTAGTTTTAATGCTTTGGTTCATTAAAAGAGCTTCAAAGAACAGGAAATGATACTAGTTAGTCTGTCAACAAACACTAGAGTTATAGTGAATTTAGGGTTTTTAGGTCAGATCTCCACTAAATTGACGATTATTATAACAAAAAAATTATTCAGCTCCTTCAGTCCCAGTCAATATTGGTCTGATAGTCAAGTCAAGATAGATTAGTAAATAGCTCAAGTAAATTATTAAGACAACCAAAACTTACTGTTGCTCCAATCTGGTTCTCTTGAATTAGGCCAATAATTTTGTCTTCGTCTGTCTTCCCACTCTTTTCGTCTGTCATAATCGTCTGGACGAGGTGACAGTGGTCTACTATACCTATCCATCTGCTCATATTCACGTGAGTGAGGAGGTTCATTTCTTAATTCTTGGTCATAATATGGGCGGTCTCTCATTTCCCTCGAAGGGTATCGTTCCCTATCAAATTCTTGTTCTCTTCTGTATGGTGGTGACAAAGGTGGCCGGCTTCGATCTTCTCTGTAGGGAGGGTAGTCCCAGTCACCAGGCTGTCTTTTCCATCTCTCATCTTCATACCATCTAGCATACTCTTCATCTCTAGATGGATGCTGCCGGTCCCTTTCACTGGCCCAATCAGGTGACCTCTCCCGATTTTCTCTCCAAAGTCTTTCTCTTTCACTCTTTTCCCATTCTTCCCTATTTTGTGGATAAGCTCTTCCTCTATCATTCCAATGTGGCGGGGGTTCTTCTACTGGAGGAATCAGTCTTTCATCCCTACCTACATAATCCYTATCCATGTCATTTCTCCAGCGCTGCCAGTCATCATCATGCCACCTATCTGGTTCTCCTCTTCTTCTATCTTCTGGGTACCTTCCCATTTCATCTCTTACTTGCTTAGGAGGAACATAATTTTTAACCTCGACAGAAGTAGAATCCTGTTTCAATAAAACAAAACAAAAATAGTAATAATTAGAGTTAAAAGCCAGTGTCTGATCCACTGTAGGTTTGCAAATCAACTTCTAAATATATTCCAATTGGAATCCACTGGAAGAAAGCCACTCTGTGGAATCCACTGTTTGCCCCATTATTTATTTTATCATTTATTTTATTTCTTATTATGCAAATATGAAAATATACTCTGACATGCATTTTTTTCAAAGCCATGCAAGTCTTTATTGTAAAAAAAAGTCAGAGCCACTTTGTCATTTCTTTGATTGAGCTGAGCAAGAATTAACTTGCCTTTCATATGGACTTGACCAAAAAGTGCTGGAGCAAGATAGCTTATGAAACACAGGGTGATTGCCCTATTTCACTATGACGTCACTGTTCGTTTATGTGGGGGATAGAATCACCGAATCCAATAGAAATATCAACAATATTTGCTCCTAGCAAAACAGCGTAATCTAAAATGGCCTGGTTTTCAGATATAATTTGTGTTAATATGTACTAAAAAATATTCTGAGCGTTTGCTGGCTATTCTACTTCTCTTTGTGGATTGATACGTGTTTTAAAACAATTTTCAGTGAATTTGCGTTGATTCGACCCCCTCCGACGACCATGATCCTTTGCATTTAAACAATAGATTGTTTTGATGTGACGTCATAGTGAAATAGGGCAATTAATATATTGGAATCAAGGTCCAAATGTAAAAACAAGAAGCAACCAAACACAGTCCAATTAAGAATGAGGAAATCCAACTGACCTTTGAAATAGGTTGAAGCCTTTCTTCAGTATCTGTTTGTAGAAGCAAATGAAATTTRACAGCATGCTATCATAAAATGTATAGTGATTATCTATTCTATTTTCCATTTAAACTTGCAAAGCATTCAATTATGTACATAGTACATATACTCAATCAAGGCAGTGGGGATTTAAACTATCCTTGTATTGTTTGAATTGTGGTTTCTTTACAATAAAGTCAGTACTTCCAARATTTGAACACTGAACCCAATTAACTCTAATAATTAATATGAAAGCAAGGGAACATCAGCTACCTAAAATTCTGGTTTTTCGTAGTGGCACTTTAAGAAAAAAATCATGATCAATCCAGTCAATCAGTAACATGTATATTAATATATAGTTGTGTTATAATGATGTAATGCCTGTTGACTGCAAAGAATCAAACCGCCCTTTGGCAAACTTGTGGATACTAGTTGAACTTTTCAGAGATTGGGCTCCCTGTGTCCTTATGCTTGTTGACATTCGGAGGGTTCAAAGTATTTCGCTCAATTTCATATCTTAAATGCTCAATTTAGCTGGTAAGATGATTAGTCATCCTYTTATTTTCCTTTTAACACATACTTTGATAAGTTCTTTGTTATTTTGTTGAGTTTGGAAGCGAATTCTGTGATGAATTGGAAAAACATTGCGTTATGCGTTACTACTTATCTTGACCTTCAAGGGTCATCACGCTGGCTTACAATCGATTTAGGTTCACATGAAACACTTTAATTAAATTGTGAACTAAGCCAATATTTTATAGAATTTTTTTTGGAAATACTATTTCTTTTGACTTCATTCAAGTCTGTAAATTACTAATTATTTATTGGAGCGAATTCTCGTTAGTCTCGAGCAACATCTATTGGGTAGATTTGTACCTTCGCAGTTAGATACAAGAACATTGCTTTGGCTGTTTGTGATGTCCAACGATCAATCTACGTACATAAACGTTTCTGTTTACTTTATCGCATCAGCAAAAAAAGGTGTGACTCATTGGAATTTTAGTTTTAGGCGTTAATCGTATTATTTTACTTCAAGTTGCATCTTTCCTTGATTCTTTTGATAATCTGAAGATGAAACTAAGTGCGAGTGTGCGCATGTGTAGAGTGGGTCCACAGTGCTAGAAAGTATCCCACATGAAACTGTTCATTTCCTCATATAAATAGCGAAAGTAGTCTATACTGAATAAGAGCTTTGTGCTTGTTAGTGTCGTGTAACGTTTGTAATCAGATGACGTAAGACGAACAATATACGTTTAATTATCGATCTGCTAACATCTTAGTGAGTGAGCAAGCGATTGACACATTAGCATATTCAGACCCCTCACAATAACTTGTTTCTACACTTCGCGTATCCACGAGTTAAAAATTAACTAGTCAAGAGATTAAGGTGTTTTTGCTGCTTGGATAGTTATTTAAGGATGTGATCTATGTTTCTTTAAATAAATGTTTCTCAGAACAAAATCCACGTGGAGCTTGGAACCTTTTTTTCAAGAAACATTTGCTTGAAGAAACATAAATCATCACTGTATCTTTTTACCAGCTATTGGTTTTACATAATGGCTACCATCTCCAATGCCAGGAATCTGGACATCCTTTTTGCTAAAGCTTCCAAAGCCACCCACTGAGTGTTGCAAAAGAAACACAAGATAATTATTAAGATATGATCCACTAAATAAATCAATAAGAAAAACAAAATAAACAGCTTTGACATTTTCATTCACATATTATAATTATTATGTTCAAAGACCAAAAAAAGCTAATCCTTAATTAAAGCAAACCTTTCAAATCAGTTCCTGGAACTCCATCAGGCAAGTCTGAATGATCAAATATGCAGTCTTTCGATGTACAACTGAAAGCATGAATTGGGTGAAATATATTAACTAGAGTCATAAATAGATTCAGTGGCAAACCTAGGGGTGGGTTTTGAGGGTTGCAACCTCCCTATGAGAGCCATCGTGATTTATCTAATTTTTTTTTCATGGCAACACCAACAGCATCGCAAGTTTTATTAAAACAGGGGTGCCGAACATATTTCACTCGCTTTTTTTTCTATACGCTGTGTGCAGCAAATAATCATTATCATAAGACCTACTTCTGTTTGGGAACCCTGTGCTACTTTCCTGCCAAACAATTGGAAGTACCTCAATCAATGCTACAACTCCCCCTTTAAAAAAAATTCTGGATCCGCCCCTGAGATTTCTGCAGTGGTAAAATCATTACAAACTAAAGCATGATAAAACTCAGAAAAAAGGACCATACTAGGCAAAATATATATATATATATTGTAAAATACTACTAGTCAGTATTTGATGTATTCGTGTCTTTTTTTAAAGATAATAGATGGGATTGACAGGGGAAAACAAAATTCCATGTAAGTTTGAAAATGGTGCCGGGAACTGTGAATAGGCCAGCTACTGAAAACTACAATTTTCAAAATAGTTTTTAATCGAAAATGACTCAATTAACCAGCTTTTCTTTGTTCTATTATTTAAGTAACTTTAAATCATTTTAGGAGGAAAATGAAGGTTTACCTCTTTCCTGTTGTGCAAGGTGGATGTTGAAATTTACACTCAGCACCATATCTGCAGTTTGGAAAAAATCTGCATGGTACTGACTTCAACTTTGAACTAGGTACTTGGGGTTTCTGCAAGTCATCTATTAATTAAGAAAACAATTGCAAAAGATTTAAAATATATTCCTAGCACCACAACTCACATAATTTACATGCATCACATTTTATAAAAAATAGTGCCATCACAAAACAGATCACATTATCTTAATTTACATTTCTTGGTATTCATTTTTTCTTGTGTTTTTCCAGCAAGGACTAGTTCCAGTATAAGAGCCCATGCATTTAAAGATTTGCCAAATATAAAAAAAAAATAATTATGTTCCTGATTTCAATTCTTATCTTGATCGGAAGTAAACACAGAACTCTGTTAGAAAGCATGATTTTCATTGATTTTATTGTACTTCCAGAAAATTGTGCATGTGCCAAAAAATGGATAATGAGTCCTCCTTCTTTGCCACAGGCCAGAAGAAATGCAGGCTCTGGGTATGGAATTGCTTTTCCAGGAATTGAAAAAAAAACTTTAAGAAATAAAATTAATGTAATCTTCAAGCTCAACTAAATTATCATGCTTAGCTTAATTCTAAAACAAAAAGCCTGTAGATGCTAACCATGTATTATTAGCATTTATACATTTAACAAAATTACTGCAGTTTTACAGTGCAAACTACTGTAACCGGGGCCACTTAGAACAGTTAGACAAGAGAACCAATAAAAAGGTAGAATTGAATCAATGGATTCCAATTTTGGCTAGTATAGGGAAGTATACTGTCAGCAAAATAGCAGACACTATAAAATAGCTGCAAAGTAGGTTACCAATCATTGATAAGTATGCCAGACAAAATTAATTTAGCAGTCTAAGAAGTTTGGCAAGTCAGATGTTTACCTCTCAACTTGCCCTTTGTTGATTGGTCAGTATCCCCTCCCTGTTTTACATCTTGCACTGGATGTTCAGAAGATGTCTGAGTTATAAGTTGTTGATTGCTTGGAGAACTCTGTGATGCTACATTATCAGATGATGTGGGCTGAGTCTTAGTGACACTTGTATCTGGTATTTGTTCTGCCTTGATTGGTTTTTGAGATACAGGATCAGCTATGATTAAATAATACATATATTGGTTTATTAATCATGAAAATCTAATAAATATGGACGTACATGAGTCTAAATCTATAGGCTGTCTTCTAATTAAAAGAAGTAAAGTAAAAAAATGTTAGGTGCTTAATGACGCTCATGGGCAAATGCAATGTAAATGTCCAATAATTTCTTAAACTTTGCCAATTGATAAAACAACAGAAAACACACAAAATAAGCCCAAAAAATAGTGGGTTACCATGCAATCCTGTGACTAAAATGATTTTAAAATCATTTTGTCACCTTTTATTACGAGTCATCAAGTGGTGAAAAACAAATTTTTCCTGTGAGGGTTTTCCCCAAAGTACGTCTCGAACAAAACTGAGCGCCCTTGCACTTAAACTCATGTGTAAGAAAGGCTGTGTGTGAACAATGCCCATGAATTGAACCTCCTCATTGGCAAATGCAAAGTACATGTCAATTTTCTGAAATCCTGTTACTTGTTAGAACAATATAAAACACACAAAATAAGCCCAATAGGAGGGGGTCAATTTGCAATCCTGCAAATGAAATGACTTAGAAGTCGATTATTTTGGCATAAGTCGTAATTAAAAAACTTTTTCATGGATTTTTTCTATAGCACACAGCCAGAATACTGTAAGAAGAGATTACATTAGATATTGAGTGTGATATAATAAATTATGAGGACCAATAATAATAAAGGCTGCATTCTTAGGAATGCGTAGTTCCAGAAAAATATCCTAACCCCTCTCCCCTGGAGGAATTTTGAATTTCTGRGGGGTGGGGGGTCAGAGAAAAAACAAAATTACAAATTTCTATGTTAGAGAACTGGAATTTCCAGGGGTAGGAGAGTATTTAGAAACACATTGGGGGGGGGGGGGGGTATAATTTCTGGAACTACACATTCAATACATAAATATTGATATTTCTGCTGGAGGCATTTTAAATTTTACAAAATTCCAGTAGAAATATAACAGCATGCAACAATTTCCAAGTATTTACGTGGTGTAATGAATCTTACCGGATTTGCTTTCTTTATGCTTCTTTTCAAGCTGTGCAAGTTGCAAAAGCTGGATTGATTGTTGTTGCAAAAGCTCAAGCTCTTGTTTTGGGTCCAACCTTTGTAAAAAGAGTCCTGAGAAGGCTGAAGAAGTTGTTGATATGGCTGTTGTTAAGGATGTTTGCTGTGCTTGTGAACTGTAGCAAACCAAAAGGCAAAGAATTGTCATATTTTAATTACTGTCTTCAATCTAGCATAGGGTAACATAAAGGATAACCTTAGGAATAAATTCTGGTTCAATGTTGATTGTTGCACTATTAAAAAACTAGTGAGTACGCCCTGCAAATCAGTGTCTTTTCCAACTTGTAGAAAAGCCACAAAAAAGCTAAATATTCTTGAATATTACTTCATATAATTATTTAAAGGCAAACTTTTTGAAATTGTTGACCATTCACATTTAGCTTAAGGTTATTTGAAGCTCTGCTCTAACTTCACTTTTATACTGTTCTTGCTGGTCATTTGTGACAATCATTGACGTTGTGTATGAATGATATAGACCAGAGTCATCTATGGAACTGAGCAGTTGAGAACCATGCTATTGAAGAAATGTGTAAAACCAGGATGCTTTTTTCATTTTCAAGAAAGCAGCATTCTCAAGCATCTGAAGGTCTTCCTTTTCCTTCCTTTAAGTTCTATATGGCTTCAAGTTGTAAGTCTTAATCATAAGGTGATTCTGGTGAATGTATCACATCTTTAAACCCTTGTCCTTCTCGTTTGACCTGTTTGAAATGTTCAAAACCATTGGCAAACACCAAGCTAGTAAAAAGTGCATTAGCTGCCTTCAAGACATTCATCTCAAGTGTATTGACTCAGATTTTGAAAGAACGCAACTTTGTAGTCTATGCTCTTTTACATCTCCAGGCCCGTAGCTAGGGGGGGTGCAGAGGGTGCATTCGCACCCCCCCCCCACGCGAGCTAAAGGTCCGCTTTTTAAGCAAGTGAGATTTTGGCTGGTATGATATTTTCACGTAAAACTAAGTAAAAAAAAAATCAATTTTACTTTAATAATTTATCTATACCTATGCATCCTATGGGACTTTTAAAAAATAAAGTATATGGTTGGTCCACTTTTTGTAAATTAGCACCCCCCCAACAAAAATCCTAGCTACGGGCCTGCATCTCATCAAGCCAACAGAGACAACAACAGCGATAACAACAGTGTGAAGAGTTTTCTACCAAAGATCTTAAAAGACATGACCTAAGGTTGACCTTAACTGTGACTTTTTGGCAAAGTGAGCTATTCCAGTTGAATGTAAACAACTCAAAGCTATTTTCAAGTCTTTGAATTTCACCCAACTTATTTCTGAAGCTGCATGCATTACACAAAGATCAAAGACTGTATTGGATTTGATTGCAACTAATATTCATCAAAATATAGGTCTATCTGGAGTCCTATCAGTGCAACCATAACATGGTCTTCTGCAAAGGAACGTTAAATCACAGGAAGGCACCGGCACAAACAAAATTGCTTAGGAACTATGCAAATTATGATCCTTCTTTGTTTTGTCAAGATCTAAATAATGTTGATTGGAACACTCTAGAGATTTCTTACAGGGATACAGTTAAGTCGTCCTATTGTTTAAATGAGCTATGATCCAGTTTCAAGTCTGCCTTTGTTTGCTGACTGTCACGCAACTATTATTTTAAAGCGTGTGCATGACTGGTGACACGGATGACCAGTGATATCAAAAGGGACATGCGCCAGCATGACTACAGTCTGAAGAAAGCTAGAAAATCTAATAAAGACCAAGACTGGTTGAATAATCGCACTGCCAGAAATCCTGTCACCAAGAAAATTAAGAGAACTAAAAGTACGTACAATAAAAATCTYGTGGAGGATAACAGTAATGATCCAAAGCAGTAATAGCACAAAGCAGTAATAGTATAAAGCAGTAAAAAAAAAAGTTAAACTAAAAATTATTTAAGTGTATATCAGCATACATCAGTACATTACATAGATTAAAACGAGCAGTTAAGTACGTAATTCATCAGCAGTACAAAGAGTAATGGTCCAAGGATTGAACCTTGGGGAACTCCAGATGATATAAAGCACAGGTCAAACAGTTTATTTTCCATAGCAACAACTTGTTTATGATTGCTCAAGTATTCCTGAAACCCCTTTAGCTCAATATGAGCAATGCCAAAGGATTCCAGCTTCATTAGGGTTTGGTGGACCACTGTGTCAAAAGCCTTTCGTAAATTGATGAAAACAGTTCCAGTCAAGAGTCCTTGATCCATTCTCTGTCTTCTTGAATCAGTGATTGATATAGCTGATGATTCAGAGGAGTGATGCTAATTCCAGAAGCCATGGTTGTATGGGCTTAGTAGTTGGTGCTTACTGAGAAAGCAATATAGCTGGGAATGAACAGCCCTCTCTAAAAGCTTCCAAGCCACAGGCAGCACAGAAATGGGACAATAGTTATTCAAACTATTTCTTTTCCTTTTTTGAATAAAGGTGTCACCCTAGCACATTTCCACTCATCAGGAATGAATCCAGTAGTCAGAGATGCATTGATAATGTTGGTTACTGTAGCAGTTTAGCAACAATCTCAGCTGAGTCAATCAAAAGACATGGGAATATGTTGTCTTATCACACACAGGGCAAAATTACTTGATGCTGATTGGCTAATGAAGGAGGACTTTTTTCTGTAATTCGGGGCTGAATTACCAGAAAATGATTGGTAGATCAGTTGCCAACGCTCATAAAATGTAAAACTTTTCTTTCAATTTTTGCAAACAAAATGGCTTCCTGTTTTGGATTAGCAGACAAAGAAATCATGAGAAAACTAAAAAGTTCAAAGCGAAAATGAGAACACTAGAAAGAGTACAGGTGTTTGGATAAATGTTTTCCGCAAATGGGCCTTGGAAAGATCACTCAAGTAGTCTCAAACAACAACAATACAACTTCAATAGCTCCAAATGTGACTTTGAACGCCATTGCTGGAAATCATAATTCAGCAAAACAATATGTTACGTTTGCCATTCTTTCAGTTGAAGCACATTTTTTCAAGATTTAACAATTCATTCAGCGGGAAAATTGCCAAATAATTATTGTTTAAACTAAGTGATCGATAATATTCTTTTGAACAGGAGAAAACCTTAAAGTATTGTTGTCTAAAGCTAGAAGATAGAAGAGGGCACATGTAATGAAGAAACATGTTTGAATTCTGAATAAAATTCTTTTGAACCATATAACTATATTTGATTTGATAGTTCAGAATAAATGACAAAGCACGGGCAATTTATTGATTTCAAGATGGATTTTTTCCTTGAATTTGGTCCTAGATCTTCGCTTCGCGACTCGTGCAATTTCAAAACTTTGAAAACACTCATGAAATTAAAACTTCATTTTAATAATAATAATAATAAATTATGATTTATATAGCGCTAATATCCCCATGGTTCAACGCCGCTTCAATGTTCAATGTTGCAATTTTTGGAGAGAAGTTTTGGGAAGACCATAAAGTAAAGAATTACAGAAGTCAAGTTTTGAAGATATGAGGGCATGGACAAGAGTTTCACATTCATTACAACTCAAGTATCTTCTAATTTTCCAAATATTATGAATATGAAAGAAGCAGGTCTTACATACGGAAAGTATCTGATCTTCCAATGACAGAGTCTAATCAAAGATGATGCCAATGTTACGAGCTGATGTAGATCGAGTAATAGTAGAGTTCGAAATTTCAAGAGATACAATGGGTGGTAGAGGACAACGAGGGTTTGATAAGACAAGAATTTCAGTTTTGTCCTTATTAAGTTTCAACTTGTTGCAAGTCATCCATCTATCAATTTCTGAAAAAACTCGGCCCCATACAATTACCTATACTAATTCACTAGACTTTTTAGTCTTGAGTTTCTCGAGATTGGTTTCGATCAATTTCTATGTGACAGCCTCAAATTTAAATGGTGGTGTCCCGGGAGAAACTTCTTTACGTATTTTCTTTTAAGTATTATTAAACTTAAAGTTGTAAACCTTAAACCTTTCAGTATCACATTATTACTTTTCATATGAGGTTCATGTGATATAGCACAGATAGCTTACCAAATACAAAATACAAAAATAATCCCAATATATAGTACCATGCCAAGAGAATGTGACTATTAAGCCATAATTTAAACAAAGAATTTCATAACTGAAGACTACTGTAAAACCTCTATAACCTACCTTTCTGTTTGCTGTGTTGTAACAGCTTCTGTATTAGTTGATGTTGGAATGGCGGCTTTAGTACCTTGAAGCCACTTTGGTAATGGCTTTGTATCTTTTGCTGTATGTTTTTGTTGTTTGTTGGCTGATTCATTCACCTGTTTATTTTGTTGTTTGTTAACATTTTCTTGAAATCCTTGCTGTTCTGGTATTTTTTCCTTGTTGGAATCTTGAAGCCATTTTGGCAGTAGCTTTTTATTTTCTTGATCTGGCACTGGTATTTTTGCATCACCTTGTAACCATTTTGGTGTTGATCCTTGAATCTCAGTAGTATTGTTTTTTTCTTTTGACTGATTCCCTTCTGTTTGCATCCATTTAGGTAGCAATTGTGATGGGTTATTGTCTGTCTTCTCTTTTACGAGTTCAGGTCTTGGTCTTCCAGCACTAMCTTGTGTTGTTTGATTAGATCTGACATTGGTTTTTTGACTTAACCACCCTGGTTCATTATACTGTTGATTTTGCTGCCATTGATTGGGCCCTTTTCTTTCTTCATGTTTTGATGAGTCTGCAAAGTTTGGTTTGATATTTTGATAGCCACCCTGTGCACTACTCTCTTTTATTAGTTCTGGTCTGGGTCTTCCAGCACTAACTTGTGCTGTTTGATTAGATCTGATATTGGTTTTTTGATTTAACCACCCTGGTTCATTGTACTGCTGCCATTGATTGGGCCCTTTTCTTTCTTCATGTTTTGATGAGTCTGCAAAGTTGGGTTTGTTATTTTGACTGCCACCCTGTGCAATATTCTCTTTTACAGCACTAACTTGTGTTGTTTGATTAGATCTGCTATTGGTTTTTTGACTTAACCACCCTTGTTCATTGTACTGTTGATTTTGCTGCCACTGATTGGGCCCTTTTCCTTCTTCATGTTTTGATGAGACTGCAAAGTTGGGGTTGTTATCTTTATTATCAATCCTAATTAATTCATGGTCTTGATTTGAAAATTTACTGAAAGACTGATATTGCATGGAAGGAAACTGCTGGTGTGTTACTGTCTGCTGAAGAGCTTGACTTGAAAGATTAGGTGAGGAATTTTGCACCGTTTGACTATGTGTTTGCTGCCCAGGTTGATTTGGAGTTTGTTTGGGAGCTTGAGATTGCAAACCAAAGCCCATTCCCTGTGCCTGTATCATCTGCTGTTGTTGCTGCTGCTGCCATTGTTGTACTTGTTGTTGATATTCTTGAAATAATTTCTGGTCAGGATGATTGGCATGTTGTGCTTGCCATTCATTGTACTGCTGTTGCCATTTTTGATACTGTTCAGTGTACTTTTGATTGATATCTTCCAGTGACAGCTGACCACCACTATTATTAGCTACATTCATGGAAGGAAAATTCATTGGGGGAGGATCAAAACTTGTAGAGCTTGAAGCAGTTAAAGAAGACTTGCCAACAGCATCATTAGATTGTAAGTTGGTAGGAGCCAGTTGTTGGAATTGGTAAGCACCATCAAACGGAGTTTGATATGTTTGGTTTATCTGAGTCTGACCTGGAAATGTCGGGTTAAAAACTTGTGGATGGCCGTGAGCTTGACCGTACTGCGCTTCAGGTGCAACATTAGTATATAAACCCACCATTGGCTGTTGTGACAAAGCAGTAGTGAATGTTCCGCCATATTGACCCGAAGCGGCTGTGTGTTGGCTCGATTGGGCTTGGATGTTATAAGGGTAAGCCGGGACGAATTGGACTTGCTGTTGACCATATTGCTGCGGATATTGTAACTGCTGTTGTTGTTGGTACTGAAAGGGATTCATCTTGCCCCCTTTATATGTAAAACGACCACTAAAGATGTTTTAATTTTCGAAGACATGCCTCGAAGTCCATCTTGAAAATTCTATGTCGAGGTCTGGTGCCCAGTCCGTCTCGTCAACTTCTGTACACCAAAGGCATGGGCACTAGGAAGAATTTCAAGATGGCGGACGTTCGAGAAAGACTCGCCAGGAGAAACGAAGAACGATTACAAGCAATCGATGAGCGAAAAAATCAAAGTGAATCCCATTTAGAGCCCGAAGAGAACAAGGATTTGTTTAAAACTACATTTTCTCAAGGAAGGATTGAGCTTGAAGACCTATTAAGTCAGTGCCGAAGCATAGTAGGTAATGAAGATAAAGAGGTTATTGCTCAGCACTTTGACAAACTAGCTGAAAAATATCAACAGCTGCAGAAGTTTTTGGCGGACTCATCTATTTTTTTGCCGGCATACGACGTTAAGTTATCACAAGATAAAATAAATGCCCTCCAGCAAGCTATAAGCGAACAGAGAGAAAGGCTTTTACCAAAGAAGAAATTCGCCTTTCGAAGTCGCAAGAAACAGGCTGACGAACAATCTATTGGACAAAAACAGGTAGGCTTAGCATGTATAATGCCATCAGGGTCTGGGATTGAGGTTACATGTCAACTACCAACAAGCCATTATAGAATCATTCCCTTGCCGTCACACTTTTGTGGCTGCTATTACTCGTTTAAGGGACCGGTCATTATTTATAGGGGAAGGGGGAGGGGCTGGTGCAAATATGTCGTTTGTCACCAATTTTTATGCAACGAGAAGAGGAGGGGGGGGAGGAGTAATATAAAATTATAAGCAGAACACTCTAGTTGAGAAGCACTCCCTCCACAAGTTACAAGGAACAGAATTTTTCAACTTACAACAAATTATTTTGTTACTAGACAAGTTTGTACACAAGAGGAAAAAATGTGCAGCATCACTTTTCAACCTGTTCTGCAGCAATGTTACAATGTTTTTTAATAAATGCATATGCTCTTATTATATCTATTATTTCAATATTTTAAAGCTATTTTGAAAATATATTTCTTTCTGACTTATAGAATCTTGATGATGTGGATAGTAGTATACAAAAATCCATGGATGATAATTTCTTTGGCCAAAAGTCATGTGGATTTAAAGGTATAAAGGAGCAAGATCTGAGAATGGAAGAGACACAGTCAAATCATCAAGACGTTATATTGTCAGATTTAGAGAAGTGCAATGTCAAAATTCTTGGTCTCCCATCAGCACTGCATATGAATCAACTCAAGAATTGTACCATAATCTGTGCACCAGTATCAACTGCCATATTCATTGATGAATGCACAAACTGTACTTTTGTACTTGCTTGTCAACAATTGCGTGTGCATAAAACATCTCAAAGTAGCTTTTATTTACATGTGTCCAGTAGAGCCATAGTAGAAGATTCTACTAGTGTTGGTTTTGCTCCATTCTTGCTGGAATACCAACAAAAGGAAGAACACTTCAAAGCTGCTGGCCTAGACCCAAAAGAAAATAACTGGTCGTTGGTGAATGACTTTAACTGGTTACGCAAAGATGAACATTCTCCTAACTGGTTCATAATAGATGAAGAGAAGCGTCATAACTGGTCTTTTTGAATAGAGACAATATGATTTAGACTTCTAGAGAATTAATGGTGACCTAAAGTGACCTCATTATTGAAGAAAGGACATTCACTTGAAAATGATTTGATTGAAAAACAGTTTTTAAATTTTAAGTTTTCTTATGCAAGTGAGTTGCTAATTTAAAGCTGCTTAAGCGCTGTTGTCTGTAAATACTGAGAATCACCAGGCAGTCTCGAAAAATTGAATTTCTTTTTATTCCACCAATCAAACCCTTTTGGTGAGCTATTTTCAAAAATAGCATTGAAACTTCCCGCAGAATTTTATTTCCTTCCAAATCCAAGTTCGTTGAAATGCCCTAAATTGAGCATCAGACAGGCACTGTGACTAAGCAAAAATCCTGCACTTTTGTTGTGCTCGTTCACAAAACCCAAAACTCGGTATTTATCGGTATTTACAGACAACGGCTCTTAAAAACTAAAAAGTGTTTTATTTATAAACTTATCAAATTTTTTTTGTATCATGAATACTTATACAAATAAAACTAGATAGTGAAGAGGCTCTTTTGTTCTTTTTCATTCATGTTTTTGTCTGACTGAGCAAGAATTCCCGGGGGGGAGATACTCTTGCCCGTTTAGGGTAGGGATGTGCCGCTGAGCCCTCTAAACCCTGACCCTGTTCTACACTAAAATCGCTGAAATCCATACCCTGTTCTAGAGCAAGATCACTGAAAACCTTACCCTGTTCCGGTATTGCGAAAATAGATACCCTGTTCCAGAGAGGAGAGAGCATGATTTCAAATACCCTGTCCCAGAGCAAGTGCGATTTTATATACCCTGTTCCAGAGTAAAATCGCTGAAAACCATACCCTGTTTGGCGGCACGTACCTGTATAGCGAACATAGGGGAGTACCCCCCTCCCCCCCTTTATACTAATACAAAAGGGAAAGGATGCCATGAATTAATCACTCTCATTAAACCACCGATGAAGAAGTGTACGTTTTTTGACCCNTTAAACCACCGATGAAGAAGTGTACGTTTTTTGACCCACCCACCCACCCACAAGCAAGCCAGGTTGATCCACATTCTGTCCCATTTATTGCTCTCCAGCCAGGATTTGTTCCAGGCCAGAGTTGCCTTTGCATACCTTAATATTAACAATAGATGGGGCAGAATATTTCACTATTTTGGTCTCTTTACACTGTACAAATTTGCAAAAAGTCTTTAAATTGATGGAAACACTTGGCAGGAAAGGATTCAAGTGCATTAGTAACAAAAAACAAGTTGGGTGGCCATAATAGTTGCTATTGCCAGAACATTCATTACACAAAGACAAATACACAAGAGACCATTTGTGTCTTTTGTGCAATGAATGTTCTGGTTGAGTGATAGCAACTATTAGTCACTAAATAGCTACTACCGTATTCAAAGTATATTAAATATATATATTATCAATGTAATCTATTGTTATGATAATCCTTGTCTCAGGATTGGTCTACGGCTGACTTAAATACCCTCTGCATGAATTATCTACCACTCCTTCAAGGGCGGATCCAGCCAAAATTTTAGGGGGGGGGGGGGCTTATTGAGTTTCTTCCGTCAACACAACGGAAAATAATATAAAATCATCGTTTTTTTCTGCTGAAGGGAGGGCCTTCAGTCCCCCTTTACCCCCCCCCCTGGATCCGCCCTTGTCCTTGCAAGTAATCGGTAAAAGCACAACTGGTGCTTTGTTGCAATCCCGACCCAATCCTCATAATCTGTGTTCAGAGATGACACGTTCTTCTTCAAGGCCGGGTTCTTTTGCGAGTTTTTATCAGGTAAACTACTACGTCCTTTTAGGGGCAGCATATACAAATCTGCAAGCAGGATGGAGGCAAAAGCACCCGAGCAACATGACACTTTGCGTCGTATTTAAATACGATTCGGAGTGTTTATCCCCGTATCTAAATATATCAACAATGAAGAAGAGACAATATAATACCAAAATGTTTTAGGTCTGTTATTGATACCTAGGGTGCTTTGATAACTCTCACTCCCCCCCCAATAATATGTTTGTGGGTTGGTTTCATTAGTGTTGCGTTTCATCAACACAGTATCTAAAAATCTAAAAAACATCTATTAAGCTCTAGCTTTTGTATAAAAGCATGGGAAAATCACAACAGAGCTAGGCTCCAACTAGGTGAAAGCCCAAAAAGATCAAATAATTAGAATTTAGTAGCTCATTTTTGAGGAAGGCGGAAAACCGGAGAATCCGCGAAGAAAAATAACCCTCCAAGCATAGGAACCAACAAACAACTCTACTTACATACGACATCGAGATCGGCAGGACTCGCCGAGGGCCGCATTGCTGAGATTAAGCGGCGCATTGGCAATCATGCATGTTCATTTAACATTGGCATCTCATCAGCCTCAATGTCGCCATAGGTTGCAAGTGCCTTTCACTCGCCCCTACCCCCTAAAATTGACCCTGGGAGTCCATGTTCTGCCATGTTTTTTGTTTAATTCACATGACAGCAGTCTTGTAGGGTACAGAACTTTCTGTTTAAAAATCTGTCTGAACATCAATAACTACAGGTCTGAACATGTAGCTCACAGAATCATAAAGTATAAGCCTCAGGAAATTGTATAACCACAGGAAGTTGTTAAGTAAGAAGGATAAATAACATATATACCTCAGTAACTTAAAGCGGCTGGAAGTTTCTATTTGATCAAAACGTCAATTCATTATGTGTACTGATTATTTAATATATTATGAAAGCTTTTCATTGTTTTTGCGACTTATGCATGTCATATCCATCCTATGACTATATAGCCTTGTGATTTGCACAAGATTATAAGTTACAATTTCTTAGAAATATTCTACGGGAAATTCCCTACGGGAAATTCCCTAAATGGAATGAACCATTGGAACACACTCTTTGTGTAACACTTTAGCGTATATGAGGTAATTTTGTCTTTGCTTTTTTTACATCAATCGAAGAAAGATTTTATCAAATATACTGTAAGCTTAGGGAAAATAGTCAAATCTCCGAAGAGAAGAAATCATTTCCCAATTTATGCGCGATGGAAAAGGCCACTGATTCACGTCAGGAATGTTCGATGCGAGTGTATGATATATCCATGGATCTGACCGATGAGGGACCGAATGTTGAACTTGTCGACGACGACACTGTAGTCAACCACGAGAAAAGGAATCGCTCCGAAACTAATGGTCCAATGCTTTGTATTCTATCTATTGGTCGTGAAAATATTGAGCTTCGACAAGATGATGAAGAAGATGCCGTTTTGATTGACGATAGGCGATTACCATCAAATGACGATACCGTCATCGATTTGAGCATCGACTCTAAAGCCTTAAGATTGCTAAGTGTTTTCCTTCTAGTTACATTGCAAAGGATACCGCGTCATTATTCCAAAATCGCTATCAAAGCCAGTTCACTTTTGGTCGCACAAGTGATTGCTGTGTTGCTACTCTTCGCTTCAAATCTTTACGAAAGTCGGAGTCTTTGGGAGTAATACTTTGACGGTAAACCAATTGGATACTACAGTGACTTCAGTGAAGAACATCCTATCAAATTTAAAGTTTCCAGTGCTTTACGTTGTTGGTATTTTTTATTTCCGAACGCGTCATCTCGAGAAGCTGCTGTCCGAGGTGAGGTTGACAAGAAGATACTGGAAACATGGTAGAAAAACGATTACCATTGCTATCGCAATAATGTTTTCGTTTTCTGTGCTTTTACCAGTGATTTGTAAAGCAATTCGAATGTCTTTACATACGAAATCAAGTCCCAGTGAGAATTACAGCTTGCGCAGTATCATATCTAACTGCCTTCTTTACATCACCGTACGAGCAATGTCTCTGTCAATAGTTTTTGCTTTTGTAGTGGTAATTTATTTAATCTATTGTCAAATTCGCCTTTTTAAAGAGCAAATTCTTAAGTGCCCCTGTGATTGCAAGACGTACGTTCGTGATGCTTTCGTTAACATTAAGCGCATGATCAAATACACGGAGAGRTATTTCCAGCCCTTTCTTGTCGTTCATCTTTCGATTTTTCTAACTTTGCTAATTCCCATAATTGTTTCTTGCGTTGAGCAATATGAAGCAGAAGCAAGCTATACTCGAAATTTTGAATCCGCCTCAAAATTAGAAGATCCCAAGATAATTATACCAACTAAAGCAACTATCCCAACAATAGTGGTTACAACGACAATGAGCGGTAATGCCCTGTATGAAGCGCAAGCCACGAACAACACAGGTGCACAAAAGCAATTGGACGACTCCTCCAAGAACTCGTGGCAAGAAAAAGTGACTGATTATAATGGCATAATAAGAATAATGATAGGAATAATTGAAGTTTTCCTTGAAATGCTTTCCATTTACAGTCTACCGATTATTTTACTTGGCAAGGTTGATAAATGCATCAAATCTATAATTTATGATATAGAGATGTTGAAGTTTTCAGAGCAGAAAGAGGGTATGTATATGTTTCAATCCCAAGAAGACGTCGACTTTTGGAAATCAGTAACTGCTGGTGCTCGAGGTATTCAGATAATGGGAATGAGTTTGACATCTTTTAAAGCGGTTCTTATATCCTTGTTGTTCCCATTTGTGACTCTTATGTTCAGAATTATGCTACGTCATGTTAATGTCAATCCATAAGCGTACCACTGACAAGACTCGAGAGTAACTCAGAACATGCGTACTCTTTGGTTGAGATGTAAACATACCAATTTTCCCACATTTTTCGGTCTGTATTATAAACATCATATCAGACTAAGGTCAAACGTCGAACTTCGCATGAACCGTAAGCATAGTAAAAAATGGATAATAAGGCGGTCTTTTTATACAGCTATTTCAAAATACGTTGAATACTGTATACTGCATAGTAAATAGTGTATGGCCAATACCGAAATGCATCGTGGGTCATAGACATTGTCTTAAGTGAGATAGATCATAATTATTTATCGTATTTTTTATTTTATTCTATATATATTCTCATATACATTATCTCCTATCGGGCCGATAAACCCACGTCTTTGTTAGTCTCATATGAGAAATGGTAGGTCAGTGGTTAGAGCATGGCAAAGGAATCGCCAGGGCACGGGTTCAAATCCCGTTCGAGACTCAGAATCCTTTGAATATTTTTTTGAAATAGCTGTACGTCATTAGATCCGCCAGGTTTGACCTTAGTCTTCGCCATATGATTTTTCAGGTTATTATAACGACATGATTCGGGAGATGTTTTTAAGCCGTCCTTATAGCCCAATATAAGTTTTCTTAAAAGCATGATATAAGTTGGAAAAAACAACAACAATTAAATCATTGCCATACATTAAATGTAACTGAGTTTGACACTGAAGTGTTTCAATTTTGTTTATAAGATGAAGTTTTATATAGATAAAACTCAGATTAAAATGTATATTTTAATTATGGCTTAGCCAACGATTGTACACGAGTTGGGATCCACGAATTGTGCGTAAATTACTTCGTTTTTAAACAAAACTACAAAACTTGAAGAGCATAATAACATTTAAGTATAATTAGCATTGTCAAAATATAAGATAGGTTAATTTACCGTGATTAAATAAACTGTTTATATTGTCTGAGTATAATTGTTTTCTAACGAGGCCTTCACATTAAAATGGGACCAAGAGAGTATGAATAAGTATTTATGCTCTATTGAATGGGACGGCATCGGAGTCGCGTTAAAAACGGAATTGAAAGATTTTCTTTTCTCTTCTGACTCCGATTCCGATCCTAAAAACATATCTATCGGGAGTGAATATGGCAAGTATAAGTTCGTCGTTTCATAATATGCTGCATTTTGAACCAGTCGAATCTTCATAAACTTCCACTTGTTGATCCCACTCTCCGATGATTTCGTTCCTGTTTTTCAGTGATTGCATTAACATTTTCTGTTCCAGTTCTTGCGTCTCCTGTATGTTATTCTGGTGAAGTAACAGTTGTTCTTTCCTTTTTCTAGCAGCTTCAAGTCTCTTATTTTCCTCTTCTTGCTGTCTTTCTTCATGAAGTTGTCTTTCTTTTTTGCCATCCCTTTGGGTCTTTTCTTTCAGACGCTTGGTTTGTTGATCCAAAAACTCCTGATTACTTTGAGCCGTCTCTGAAGTGCTTTCTTTCTTCGATCTTTCAGCATCTAAAATCTTTTGCCTCTCATTTTCAAGCCTTAGTCTTTCAGCTTCTTCTCGTTCTTTGAGTTTTTCTTGACGATTCTTTTTAGCCTCTTCTTTAAACTTTTGCTCATGCTTCAAATGCTCTTCTTGCAAAGCTAAAAGCCGTTGAGCTTCTTCAAGTGATCTCTGAACACCGACCTTCTTGTTTTCTTGCAAATTCATCTCACGTTGAGCACTTAATAGTGCTTGTTCTTCTTCTCTTTGGCGTTTCTGTTGTTGTTCTTTGCGCTTCTCAGCTATTTCGAAAGTCCTTTTTTCTTCCTCCTTTCTTTTTTCTTCAAACATTTGAAACTTTTCTACATCGCGTAGTGATTTCTCTGCTTCCCTTTCATTCAACTCTTCTATGTAACGATTCCAATCATTTTGAAGCTTTGAAAGCTTCTCCAGTCTGTTACTTTTCTCTCTGACATAAATATCTTTTTCTTGTTCCATTCTCGACTTCGCTGCATCTTCTCTTTGAATCTTGAATTGTAGTTTAGCTTCCTCTGCTTGTTTTCTTTTTTCTTCCTCTAACTTTAGTTTCTCGTCTAATAAGATTTGACTTAGTTCTTTCTTGTGGAGTGCTTTTGATTCGATTATTTTTTCAAGCTCTAAATTCGCTGCCTCGCTCTCAATTGCTTCTCTTGCCTCTTCTTCCTGGACGCGCTTTCGTTGTTGCTCTTCTCTCCTAGCAAAGATATGATCGGTAGTTTCTTTGTCAAACGCTTGTTCATTTTCCTTCGATTGTCGGCTTCGCTCTGCCAATTCCTGGTCAGCTCTTTTTTTCTTCTCCTCTTGTTCACGAATGTAAACCGCTTCGTTTTCTTTCAATTTTGCAAGATAACGCTCGTGCTCAGCTAGCTTCTTGGCAGCCTTCTCGACCTCTGACTGCTGTGTCGCAATTGTTCGTTCTTGTACATTTTTAACTCCCTCTTGAAAAGTCCTAAGTTTTGCCATTGCTTTGTTTTCTTCCTCCTTGAGTTTTTCTTGGGCAATCAGAAGCATCTTCCTTTCTTTTTCCATCCTATCTTTTTCAACCTTGATAAGCTTTTGATTTTCAGTTTCAAGATCTTGTCCAACTGCCTCCTTAGACTTCTTCTCCGCTTCTAGCCTTCTCTTCTCCACTAACTGGGCTTTCTTTTGCTCATTCTTAGATAGCGCATCATATAGCTTCTTCTGGTTTTCCTGAAATTTCTTTAAATTTTCTTCGTGAAGGGCAAGGTTTTTTTTGTTTTCTCCTTCATATAACTCCTTCTGCTTGGCTGCCTCCTTTAAAGTTTCGTCTAACTGCTGTCTTCTTTCTTCTGAATCAAATATTTCTTTCTCGACTGCCATTTTCGACTGGCATTCTCCCAGTGCTTCTTTCTGACGTGCTGACTTTTGGCTTACAGCATTTTCAGCATACCTATTCTCTTCTTGTTCCCAAGATAACAGATACTCAACCATTTGTTCTTCACTCACCCTGTTGGGCACGATGTCTTGGATAGATCCGGAAAACTCCGCCATGATCTTTTATGATTTCTGGAGGAAATAAAAGGGTCAAGTGATAAAGTTAAAACAACGCCTGATTTCCTTATATATAATTTATTGTTTTCATTGCAAAATAATACACGTTAAGACCGTTAACACTCATGTAAATGATATGATTGGTCGTGATGTTTTAGCAGATACCTCTGCCATCTTCAGTGAAGCCCAAATGGTCTCGGCTTTGGTCTCATGGGCTATTGACTCGTAGACCATGTGGGAGAGAGGTTTTAGTATAAACCTACCTATCGGTCAAATAAATGGATACAAAATATTATGATATCAGGTTGAAATAATGTATTTTTTGAGTTGTTTTGGTGTTGAAAACTGACGGGCACTTGCACGCAGGATTTGAGATAGACTATCAGTAGGTTTATACTAAAGGCCAGACTATCTATAACCAGAATTACCTAAATGAAGTGCTTTTTCACTAAAATGTCTCGAAATATCTTCAAACGCAACCATACATACAATTATACCAAGAGAAAATGAACTAAGAGAAGGAATCTCACTTGAAAATAAAAATGTTAGGCCTCATTTAGGCTTAGAAATAGTACTCTGCTGAACTGAAGAAAGCTATTTTAGGTGGAGCCGGGGGAATAGGTGGGGGCTTTCCTTAACCCTCCCCCCTCCCCCACCACTAAAAAATTTAAAATTGAGAGAAGAAAAAGCTTGAAAAGCTGAACTCTATGAAAATACACAAAGCCCACAATAGTTGTTTTCCCTGCCCTCCCCCTATCATAAAACTTCAGTAAAATTCTATTTTGAGTCTTTCCAAATTGGACTCAAGGAATGAATTCATTGTGTGACTTAGAAATTTAAGGAATGAATTCATTGTCTGACTTAGAAATTTTTTTCTTTTATTCCACAATCGCAATCACAATCGTAATATTGRATATTTTTGACAAAAGGCAAAGAAATTACATTGGTTTGTCATATTTCGTCCTTTTGGTGCTTGAACAAAAGTCAAACAAAAATCCCTACAAAAAATATTTTTTCATGTGTTAGAAAAATGAACTTTTTCTAAAAAATTGATATAACCTAGATTTTTAGGAGGGTTTTAGGGTTTTGCCCTCCTGAAGCTCATAACTTGTATGGTTCTTCAATAAAGTATTGTAGATTTTTCAGCGGGTTCTGAGGGCCACATATATTTGTATCGAACATTCAAAAGTAGCCAGTCACCCAGATATTATTATGAGATAGTGGCCATAATCATTCAGAGCATAATACAATTATAGGGAGCTTAAACATTGACAAACAAAGTGTTCAGTAATCCATACATTTCTTATTAAGTTTTGGAGTTTTTGAATGGCTTTATATATCTCGATCACTATTGACCCGATTGACACCAAACTTCGAGATTTTGTACAGATCAATGTGCTCTTTCTTACTATGTGGATTTAATGTTGATTATCACAATAACAAGATATGCCAAAGCCAGCAATGAACAAAAACAGTGTCAAGATCAAGACTTTCATTCTTTTGAATCTTTATAAATAATGCCCATAAAAAAGGCTTGGGATGTAGAGAGAAAAATACAAAAAGCAGTATGTCTATCAAGCTTTGATGACTTCCTTGAAAAAGGTAATAAAAGCTTTAAAACAAAACTTAAAAAATCTATGTGAAATATCTATCTAAAATAGATTCTGAGCAAGCACAGGCAGCCCAATCTCTTGTACTGTAAAAGTATCTTTTGCAGCCATTCTTAGTGTTGGTCCAAATGCTTCCCTCCTCAATAATGTCTGCTCAATGGATCACTACATACCTTTCCCATTCTCTAGCCAATCGTAGCCATGTTAACCAATTGACATTAAAAACACATACGAAATCTGCGCCTTGGTCTTCCATTTCCATCGGAAAAAAGATTGGAAACTGAAATTTAACAATGCCTGATTCTCTTGTCCTAATAATGAGGGTTATTTCCTTGATTATACTGGAAGCTTCACTACAAACAAAGTGAAGAACCTTCTCAATTACAAGTTTCTTGAGATTGATGCACTCAAATTTGCAATCCTCTTTGGAGGGCCGTGAGTGAGCTCTTTGTATGAAGGATAAATGTAGCTTGCTGGCTCCTTAAAATATCTACTCCAAATGTTCTTGAAATGTTTGCTTGATTCACCAAAGAACAAATATATAGTTGAAGAAGTATATAGTACTACATATACTCTCTCTCTAAAAAAAAAAAAAAAAAATTTTACATATACTCTCGAAGCAATTTCATGACAGGTGATCAGTGACACTTTTGTCTTGTTGTATTGAACTTATGCTCCTCTGATCTTCAGTATTCAATCTCAATCTTTTTTTATTAGTTCATATTTTTAGGAATTAATGTCTCTAACAAAGTTCACTTTACGCTGTTCTGCTTGTTTTGAAGCTCTTTAAAGCTTCAGTGAGCACTTGTAAAAAATTCTTATGCAGATAAATATAAAACTTGAAGCGTTTAAATATTGTCAGATCATTGATACGTCGATTTCAAATTATTTTAGCAAAGGACAGGCGACTTCCAAAAGAAGAAAAAAAACTTTCTTGACCAGAATAAACGCTACACACTACACATAACCTATATAGTGATTGGTCACTGCAGGACAATCRCTACAATTTTATTGGCTCTATTGGTATTTCGACAGAACAATGGGAAAGCAATGTAGTGCTCCATTGGGCAGACGTTAGTGGGGAGGGATTTTCGGACCGACACTAAGAACGACGGCAAAGGAGACTATGTAAAATTAGTACTTATATATATTTTAAAAACTTACCTGGATAACCTTTTGTATCTTACAACAAGTTATCCAAGTAAGTCATTTTTATTCATAAAAGCTTAAAGAGCTCYTCACTGATGACACTGATGAATGAAATACTTTGTTTTCTATAATAATTATTGTAGTCTTCTTTGATTTTTCTACCATATTGTAAAAATATAATAATGACACTAAATTTGCGATTGGAAAAATATTTTCACAATCACTAGCCCTGGGGCGGGGAACAATAAGTGAGAATTAGACTTGCAAAAATGTCTCACCTAGCAGGGTAAGGCAGGGAATTAGTACGATATTAGGCAACACCTCAAATCTAAAGGGTAGTCAGGGGTGGGATTTCCACTGATAGTTTGGTGCATTACAATAAAAACGAAAGCGATGCATTTTGACTAAAGTCAAAGTGTGGGTTACCTTTGATTTTGGGAGGGAATGCAAAAAATTTTGGCCACATTTGTAGCCTTAACATAAATAGCACTTACATGTTGATTTACATTGTAATTTTAAAATAAATTAATATCTGAAAAACCAGGTTGAAGTGGTCGAAATTGTAATGGACGGTGAGCATGAAGATTGTGCGAAGGACAATGTGCACGAATTTACGGGGGGAAATACGCTTATAAAATAAATCTTTCGTACAAATAGTAATGGCCGATATGCTAAGATCGTTTACCTCGAGAAAGTAGTTCTGGTGAGTTGAAGGACGAGACAAATACTACGACAAACACCAGCGTTTGAAAGATCAAGCATCAACTATCAGAAGCATAAAAACACACTACGTCACTGAGTCACGTGAGTATACTACACAGGTAGGCCCGGTACTGCAGAATATGTTAAACTGACTGATCGAATCTTCGAGCGGCGAGGTGAATATTCACCATAATAGTATTCAGTATTTCTAACGCAAGCGACTTTAATAAATAACTGAGAGAGAGCTTTTTTGTCTTTTCAAATCTTATTTATCTCTTCAAGCGGCACAAATCGACAAACGAGCGTGCGCGTGCGCGATTATATTCACCTTATATCATGGAGTAGTCAATCGATAAAAATCGATATCGATTTTGCCGATCGATAAATCGATAACAATCGATACCGCTGATTTGATTGATATCGATYGTATCGATCAATCGTTAAAAATCGAACTCACACTAAATTTTTGTATCGATTTTTATCGATTGATTGATTATATACATATCGATTTTTTTCGATTTATGTTCTTGAACAATTTCTATCGATGATCGTACGAGGGTCGTGTGGCTACGGATTTACACCACCGGCAACTACTCTTTCGTAACCATAGCTTGACACAAACTAGGAGTTTGTTATAGTGATCAGTGAACAGACAGCAAAAGTACTTGGATAATTAGCTGCCTGATCTACATATAATTACTTGTGAATTAATAGTTATAAAATCTATTGCACTATCATCGATATTTTCGAAAACTTTCCGTGAAATAAAGCTGATTATATGATTGTACTCATTATTGGATCGAATTAAAGCTGTCAAATCTTGATCGATAAAAATCGATTAAATCGATAAAAATCGAACTCACACCAATTTTTTTTATCAATTTTAAACGATTTCCCATAAAAATTGATACAAATCAGCTGATTTCTATCGATTTTTATCGATTGACTACTCCGGGCTTATATTCACTTTTACGAGGGCGGATTCAGAAATTTCATATCGAAAACTTTTGTTACCTTTGAAATATCTTTGTTATTATTATCATCATCATCATCATTATCATCATCATTATTATTATTATCATTATTATTATCAATTCTACTAGTAAAGCAATAGTAAAATCTCAGAGGTATAACAGGGGGGTACGGATCCCACCGACCGGGTACCCTCCCCCTGGATCCACATGTCGCTGATACCATTGTGACGCTTCCCACTGAAAAAAAATCGCACGGTTTAAAACTAGCCTTGGGAGCGGAAAACCGTGTGAAATTAATCCCCATAACATTAGTCTCCTAGGGCCTTTGCCCCAGGTATAGCTATGCATAAATTATCATAATCAATAATCTTCTTACGTGTCTTTTTTCTGGGTATGCGTGCGCATCTGGTCGCCATGTTTTCTTGTAGATGAGAAGGAAAGGAATTTTCTTGCTTTTTATCAAATTTAAGTGATTTCTTGAGACACAAAATGTGATGGATTACTAAAGGTAAGTTTTCGTTTCATCTTATCGTTTTTATGTGTGATTTATTGGCTTCATAAAGGGAAAATCTCAACGAAATTCAACTTGAATCTTTGCCTCACTGGCCTGAAGAGTAAGAGGTCACCTGCTCCCCTATGATTCAAATTCTCCTGCTTGAATTTATATTTCTTTTAAAGCCAGGTTTCTATGTTTTAGTGTTCCAGGAACAAAAAACACTTAAAGCTTTTATTTTTTGCTTTGATGCTAAATAAAAACTTATATTTGATATCATTAAGATTATTTGAGTTTAGAAGTTCACTAGTAAATTTATACTAGATGATTTGATTCGATATAATTTACGAAATAATTTTTTAAAAACAGTTTGGGAGGTAAAAATGTTATTGCTTCTTAGTTAAATTCAATACGTTTTAAAATTTTGAATGATTCGATTGGCATTTGGTATTGTCTTTGGTCTTTGTGACTAATCATTTGAATAAAGCTCACTTTAATTTTTGATGTCTTCATTTCGTTAGAGCATTTTTACGTTTTTATTAAACTTAAGCTTAAGACTATCATGATACATGATCATCTTATACACATATGTATTTTGCTTTGAAACTGCTTTACAACTTAGAGCTTTATTTTACAGATTTTCGACACTTAATGAGCTTATGTTATTTTTTCTAAGTTTGTTATAGTTTCTAACTTATCTTGAATCATTACATTACACTTTGTATATGCTTACGTTTATGCATTTCCAATTCCAATTCCATTTTTAAATTTATGACACAAGACTTCCAATTAATTTATTGTTTTTACTATATCTAAAGCTAATTATTTAGGATAAGGAGAATATAAACAAAGACCTCAAGATGCAAAGTTCTTACCATTCTTTACCTCAAGAAGCTGATGAAAGGTAATTATTCTTGATTATGGTACTTCCAATTAAGTTCATAATTGAATACGCTAATCTAAGACAAGGAGTTGAAGTATTTGAATGCATAAATCGCACTGTCTCCATAAATGACATTCACATACTAATAACGAACATTGACATGCATCTGCCACAGTGCTGTCTGTTTTAAGGATGTTCATGGAGAAATTCAAAGAAAAAATGTTGATTTTCTGAAACTTTGCCACTTGATAAAACAACGTGAAACACAAAAAATAAGCCAGAAAATAGAAGACCAGAGTGCAATCCTGCAAGTAAAATGACTTAGAAGTCAATTTCAGCACCTATACTATTGTGAGCTACAGTACAGTCATAGAATGGTGAAAACATCATGATGAGTGTGCATGTAATAAAGTCTTTGTAGAAAGGCTTCTCATGAACGATGCCTGCAAACATCCTTAAGAATTAGGCAACAAAAAATGTACAAACAAAGCCAAGTTCTACCTTGTTTATAGCAGAAGCCTCTTACTTTTATGTAGAAAATAACTAAATATATGATCACATCCTTTCAATGTTTGGCTAAATCCTTAGGCCCTGGCTAAACGAGGGAACATGTTTCCAAAAACATGTTTCCCTAAATGTTTCCTAAGGTGGAAAAACTGTCAGGAAACATCAGGAAACAATGTTTCCATGCTTCTTGGAAATATGAAATGTTTCTGCCGCACAGCGAAAACATTTTTTGAGTCTTGGAAGCAAAATTTGTTGCACGCAGCAATGCTGCGCATGTGGCTAAACTGGGAAACATCAAGGAAACATGTGAGCGGTAAACATGGCCCTAGCAAAAAATTAGGACCGACTTATGCAAAGAGCTGGGTCATGAAGGTGTAAAACGGGAATGGGATTTGTCTATTTTGCCCTGGGAAAATGGGATTTAGGTCACTGGGAATGGGGAAAAACAACAAAATGGGAATGGGAAAATGTTAAAAAAAAGTTTGTATTTCAATAATTTTTAGCTATGATCGTAGTTTTGACCGTTATCAAGATAATGAGAATCAAGAAGTCAGTAACTATGGCTACAATTACAGTAACTACAGACCACCACCACCAAGTGGTTTAAAAGGCAAAGTAGAAAGCAAATATTGGCATACAAAGCAGGCTGTTATTCAAAAGCTGGGCAAGGAACAAGATGTTTTTGTAGTTGCAGGAGATGCCGAAGTTGATGCAAGGCTTCAGGTAAGGATACAAATTATTCTTTCTTTCTGTCTTTCTAGTCCTGTGATCTGTCACAGACTTTAGCATGCAGGTGAGAAGTTATTTGAACAGCTTCAAAAGGATTCCTTCAAAAACTAATGAAAAATTCATGAACCTTTGATCCAATTAGAACAACCATACAGAACTTGTCAAAAGCAAAGACCTTTATAGTTTGATAGCTATATGTTCCTTGATCACTGTCATGATCAGTCGGCAAAAAAATGCAGGGCTTAGTTGACAAACTTTTGAGGGTGTTCAATGATCATGCATTAGTCTGTCCTTTATGTAAGGCTATTTATCTCTAATCAAGTCAAAGCTTTGTATTGTATTTTGGCTGCATAGCAGCTGCCAGAGGTGCCTTTTTCATTGCTTTCAGTTCAATCCTGTTGAACTGAACTGTACTTGCTGTGCAAATGTTTCTTTTTACATGAGACACGATTTGGAATAGAAAGGTGTACACAAACTTATTTAAATCAAAGTGGTACGAAGAAAGTCACTCATATTCCATGCCTTGAGAAAGGCAAACACTCAAATCAAAATCTACTAAGCTGAAAAGRATCRYTTGAAGTATTTCTTAAATCAAATAGAATTTGTTAAACGAAGGTCAAATTTGTAAACGTAATTTRCCCTCGTTCATTAAAATCAAAAATTCCGCTAGAAATCGGCTAGTGTTTCATGACAAGCTATAGTGAGAATACTATTYAAGATTGCCCATAAGGTTTACGGTACTTTGACCTCTTTACTTTAACTACATGTAGGTTTTTATGATTTGTTATCCAGAACAAAAAACTGTATAACAAAAGAATATTCCATGCATACGAGCGGGGTCCACACTTTGTGCATAAATTAAACACACACGTATGAGCGAAGCCCGTGCGTGGAGCCCGTCAAATTCCCACGCGTGTTGACCCTGAAATAACTTCTGGCCTGTACTGTACTTCAGGAGCACACACACACTTTTATATGTTTACTCGTTTTTTATATTTTGATAACCAATGCATCTTAATATTTACTTTCAGGCATTTAAGCACATTCAGAAAACCTGTATAGATCTGTTAAAAGCTGTAGAAATTTATCAAAACAGAATATTTGGTAGGTAGAAATAATTTTGAGAATAAGTTGAGGAGGTAACGTCATTCTTGTCAGAGAATGGTTGTTTTAATTAACTATTTTCATATTTATGTGATCCTTATGTACAGCTATTTCAAAAAAGGTTGAATACTAAATACTCAATAGTGCATTCCAAGACTGAAGTACATTGTGGGTCATAGTGACATTGTCTAAAGTAGGATTAATAATAATTATTTATTCTAATTTTAGTGTATTCCACCTGAAACAGTACTAACTAAAGGTAGAGAGTTAATTGCTGTATATTTACTTTTTATTTCAAATTAAYGAGACTAACAATGCCTTTTGGTCTTGGAATGCACTATTCAGTATGCAGTGATCAGTATTCAACCTTTTTTGAAATAGCTGGATACAGTACAGCTTGAATTCCAGATATCTGGGTTTTGAGCCAACCATTTTTTAAGATTGTCAGTAATGTCATGATGAAGGGTGGATCCAGGATTTCCCAAATTAGCCAATCACCATTGAGTATTTACAGTATTGTGGGTAATCGTTGCGATCATCCAGAGATCTGCTCGCGATCAAATGTTCACCTGTTTCTGGGCTGTACTGTAAACAATAGAATCTTTATAAATTCTCACATTTTCCTCTTTAAAATCATATAAATTATCGTACTTTATACGAGTTTGTGTATGATACAGGAGTGTTTAAAACCCAGAATTCACTAACTCATCTGTTATGCAGCGTTAAAAATATGATTGGTGAATTTGATTTAAAATTTGTTTGGGTGGCCTTAGTTGATGTATATTTTCTGTTCTTTTTATTATTAACTTATTGACATGGCTGCTTTTATTTAAAGCATTATCCCAAGATGAAAATGAAATGGGACGTTTCCTTAGAGAACAAGGCTCACAAGATAAATCCAAGGCTGGGAAAATGATGATAGCCGTTGGCAAATCACAAAGTTACACAGCTCAACAAAGGTTAGAAGTAATACTACCATATCTTCTTTAGAAACATATTTAGTTACTAAGCSAAATGTAAAAACTAATCTTCAGTTCACCATACGTTCTGACAAATTTCCTACTAATAGAAAAAAAGAAATAAAAACTCTGCAAGCTTAGTTTGATTTTTTGTTGTACAAAGGATTTGGGTATTTTACCCCGGAAAAATTGGATTTAGTTCACCAGGATTTAAAAAAATATATATTTCTTTCTAAGATATTTCTTTTAAAAAGTTTGGGATTTGTGTGATGGAAGTGGGATTTCCTTGTAAAAAAAACTTGAAGTGGGAAATGGGATTCACATGACTTTGAGTGAATGCAATCTGGAAGGTCTTTATTGATCTTTCTATTTATTTTGTAGGCTGAGCTTACGAACCCCTCTTGTGAGGCTTTATCAAGAAGTTGAGACGTTCAGATACAGAGCCATATCAGATACATTAATGACTGTCACTCGCATGGAGAATTCTAGGACAGAATACAGAGCAAGTCTTCTGTGGATGGCAGATCTTTCTAAGGAACTTGACCCAGAAGAATGGAAGAGACTAGACAAGTTCAGAGAGGTACTAGTAGACTGATTGATTTTTCTGTTTTTTTTTACCACTGACTGTACTGCAAATAGATTTAATCATACTAATAAAGAGGCATGTTAGCATCCTACAAATTTGAGACAATTATATTTTAGCCTGCATAGAGGCCCAAAAGAGATGGGAGGGGGGAGGGGCTGTGGGGAAGGGGATGCCCCTGCCCTCTGGACAACTACGCAGCCTGTTCTATTTTTAAAAAGATCCACTTCAAATGTTTCAGAAACAATATTTCTTTCATGCAATATATTATATCATATCATCATTGCTTTCCCAGGTTCAATGTAAAGTGAAAACATGCAAAAAGAAGTTTGAAAAGAACAAGCATGACGTAATGCAGAAGGTGGATCTTCTTTCAGCCAGTCGCTGTAATCTGTTATCTAGCACACTAGCAGCATATCAACAAGCAATGCTTAAATTCTGGGAAAATACATCCAAGAGCATGAACCAAGTTGCAGAACAGTTCAAAGGATACCCTACTTATCAATTTCAAATGCTGAAAAGTTTAAATCCAATGATGGATCCTGATGAAAAGGGATCTGAAGAAACTAAAGAGATCAAAGGTGATGAAGAAACAAGTGCCGAGAAGAAAGACACAGGCAGCCTAGAGGAAGCTACTGAACAAACAGAACAACGTTCCAATGTGGAAAATGATGATGATGATAAATTGATATGCCTGGACCATTCTCCCACTGCAGAAAAACCAGCGAATAAAGAGGATGATGATGATGATGCATTGCTTGAGACCGACTTGTTAGGGGATGTCTCTGAGCAGAAAAATACATCACCACACTTTGATCTTCTCGGAGAAGATGAAGAACTTCCCCCAAAACTAGGTCATGGAACTGGAGGTTAGATTAGTAACCAATTCTTTTTCTTTTCTTTAGCTGACCTAATGCTCAGCTCAATAAAAAATACTACAGTAATTGATAATGTGCTTTACTCTTATTAACATTTTTCTTTAGGAGGCGATCTATTAGGTTCATTAGAGGATACCAATCCAAGTCATGATCCACCAAGCTACGAGGCAGCTCAAGACCTCCTTAGTCTACATGATTCTTATCAGTCAAGTGCAGGTATTTATGTCTTCCTCGTTTTGATTCTTAAGCTGAATGTGCAGACTATAGACCCCTTGGCCCTAAAGGAATTGTTCTGGGGGACAAAACAATGGATTTTTTATGCATAAGAAAAGACGGCCTATTGATTTGTCCCCCAGAACAATTCCTCTAGGAAATCAATACAAGGCATTTAGGCAGGGCATTAGAAGTTGAAACTCATGATTTACAAGAAAACACTCTGGCTTGATGTACATTGTTACAAATTGAACAGCGCCCAACTCTCTATGCTTTCATATTTGCATTTGCATTTGTTTTTGAGTTGTTCGAACGGGAATTTGGTTGATTTATAGTTTATGATAGACTGTTGAAAAGTGGTCAAACAATATACTAATGATGAGCATGCTGTATAGGCAATAATGTTGRCCGTACTGAAGCTGGGCAGACTTCATCCATTACTGCTGATGACCTATTGTTTGGATCACCAAGCAAAAGTCTTGGTGATAGAACAGACCTTGACTTACTGAGTGATGTATTCTCGGATGGACAGTCATGTAAACCTGACGTTAACAGCTTCAGCAGCAAATGGAATGAGCTGTTCGGTGATAGTCCAAAACCACAAATGCCACCAAACAGTGCAGATTCTAATCATCCTGGTTATTTGCCTTCTGATTTGATGGACAGTTTAGCTGGCATGGATCCTTTTGGGGATTCTTCTAACATGGGTAAATCGGCACCAGAATTACCAAGTGGCAATTCTGCCAATAAACCTAGCGGTCGTGGTCCTTCAAACGGAGTTTCCAAACAACCGGCATTGAAAGCGAGTCTGGGAGGAATTCTGGGAGGCAAAGCTGGAAAAGAAAAGAACAAAGTATCTGGGACTGACCAGTCAGCTTGGTTTAACCTGTTTTCAGATCTGGATCCACTTGCTAATCCTGATGCTATCGGACAAGGCAAAAAGAAGGAAGACGAACGGTCTTGTTAAGTTGTTCTATTGAAACTTTGATCTCCTTTTGAATGAAGAACTGAATATGTTGGTATTTTCACCAAGTTAATCTCTGTCACAAAAGAGAAACTACTATTAATATGCAAGGCATTTATACTGTTGTGTCAACATTTTAAAACCTTCATAATTAGCAGCAAACCGCATTATATAAATTATAGTTACAAAGTATTTTAAACTTAAGGTGTACACAAAGGATTTCCATTCCAGACTTTTTTCAAAATGGTTCGAACCATTGAGGAATTTTGTACTTCTGGTCGAACTTTTTAAACTATTATTTCAACAAGGTTAATGGATCAAGTTACTTTAGTGTTTTGATCTCGATCAATAACTCAGCCTTACCTCCAGTCTTCTATAGTCAAGGCTATTATCGCAATAGATGTGATAAAATAAGGAACCTTTATGGAGATGGATAAGACTAAGATCTATTTGATAAACACCTAAGCAGATATGTTTCTCAGCTCTAAGGAGATGTACATGTATTCTAATTTAACCCAATTGCAAGCAGTTGTATTAATTTATTAATAAGATATAAATACCATGTAATCAAATAGTAACAAAGAAATTCAGATTATTTCTGTAAACTAGGGTTCAGTATTTATGGAATAAGCATTAAAAACATTCTCAGACGAGCCTGGTCTTTTCATTAATAATTCATAGGTTTATGGGCACTTTTCGGATCACGAGGATGGCTTTTGAAACCTAGTGGGTGTCTCAAAATAGCTGGAAGAATTTATCATCCACTTTCCACGCATTTGCTTCATTTCTCTAACTCTCTCCCCTCTATTGCTTACTTTTCATACTTCTATCTACTATCTACTTACGTAATTACTTTTTTTTTTTTTTTTTTTTTTTTTTTTTTTTTTTTTTTTTTTTTTTTTTTTTTTTTTTTTTTTTTCCTTGGACTTACCATGATCTCGAACCTGAGACCCTTGGCGTAAGAGTCTAGAGCGTTACCAACTATCCCAACGATGAATTTGCTGACAAAGTTGGGTTGGATCTATATTTTATTAATGTTTTTCCCATACAACTGCTTTACGTATATTAAATTAATAACACAGTAAAAACAAGGAAACTGCTTTTCCTGCATAATAAATTATTAACTCAGAGAGGTAACACCAAAAACTCATGCTTCGTRTTTCATTAGGGTTTCCAAACACTCAAAAACGATAAAAACTTTCAGCCTACGGCCTCGTGCTTTCAAATGTTTGCTCGTGTTTGGAAACCAAAATGAAGCACTCGCACTCATCCTTGAAAGATTACTTGAAAATATCCTATGCATCCGAGTCATGCAAAGGAGTGTATGTCATTTATCGCTGCATTTTGGAAAAATGTGTGTGTTTGGGGGGGGGGGGGGTAGTTTCTTCTCTTTCGCGATAACAATAGTTCAAATTTAAGCAAAGTGGATATCTTTCTTTGGCAGTAACAAAAGCGGAAAAGTTAACTGCAGCAAAACGTCTACTTTCTACTTATTTCTACTGTTTGGGAAATAATTAAATAGTTATGACAATATACTTTAGTAAGAAAACTAGTTGTAAAAGACAACGTTTTGCTGTCATTTCGACAACATCATCAAGTCTTATGAAAACTGTAAACTCTAGTTTTCTTACTAAATTGTATACCTAAAAATACCTTKATCAAAAATATACAACTAATGTCATCAGAACAATCAATATTACTTACATAGTCTCCTATAGACGCGCAGGAAGGTGCAATTAGAATAATTTTCATGTGCGAAGCCATTGACTCAAAATCGCTGGAAAGATTTACCAACCAGACGCTTATCTCTCGCATTAGGGTCCAAACAGACAGCAGAAGTGGATGTATTTGTCACCGTTCGATAACACTTCGGGTAGTAAATGGGTCTGACAATAAGGAAAAGACAAATATCGAACTCTACAGAGGTAACAGTGTTTTATTTACAAAGCATCCGTCAGTCATCGAATACATGTACAAAATATTTACAGCCAACCACTTCCCACATCAAGACTACAATTGTTATAACAAGAACTCGAATCAAGTGTAGATTTTGCCCAAGCATCCTCCTTGTCACTGCTGCAAGAAGAAGACAAGTATTAGTGTTGAGTCTGTAAGGAGTCTTGCATTTCTCACTCATGCATCCAACACAGACCCGTACCATACAACTAATTAGAATTTTTTTCTAGCCGGTATCCTAAAAAATGCGCGTTCTGATTGTTTGAGCGAGCGGGCGGTATTTGCAACAGGTTTTTCCTATTCCGACCTCTTGGCCGTTAAATAACCTTAGAAAACTCATTAATAATTCATAAGCTTGTGGTCCAATTGGAGCCACCATACACGTCACGCGCATGAACCTTTATACCCGATAAAGTCCTCTTCATTAGTATTCAAGTGATTTTATATAAAGACTACTCGAATACTATGAGGATGACTTCATCAGGGATGAAGTATGCATCCAAGTTTAGATGAAGACAGAGCTTCATCAAGGCCCGTAGTCAACCCTAATGATCTTTGACTAACGTGCCTGTCTTTGCCTTGGCACGCAATATCCAACGTGTGGGAGCTTCTATTGAATCTGGTTGCGCATGCCCGTGACGTCAAATCTCTATCGAAGTATAAAAATCCATGTTCGTGACGTGTATGGTGGCTCCAGTTGAACCAAAATCTTATAAATTGTTCATGAGTGTTTTAAGCAGTTCAAAAARCTCGTAGATCGTGTTTTATACCTGATAAAACACTCCTACTCGTTTTTTAAACACTACTAATATATGTTACTAGTAAGTAATAAAAGAGAAATTACTTACCGTTACCAACGATAGGCGTTTGCCATGGTCGTCCATGGACACAGAATGGCTTTTTGAAAATTCTAATGGTGTACTCTCTACATTGATTTTACGTCCACAAAACACCTGTGAATAATAGAGGAAAAGATGAGAACAAAGAAAAGGGATTTCCATATTTATTTTACGACAAGTTAATTCCAAGTGAATATCGGAAAGGGAACAAAAAAACGCGTGCTTTGTCCCAGTGTCAAGATAAATGCATTAAATAGTAGCCATACAAGGTCTGGTCCCTTAAAAAAAAGTAAACTAGAGCACATATTTACCGTCGCTTGCAAGTTTTCTTGAAGGGTTCCATGATCGAACTCGCTGTACACAAACAAAAAACTAAGATGTCAAAAGTTTATTTTTACTTCTAAATAGCTTACGCTAATACTAATACTTCTAAATAGCTTACGCTAATATATGAAAGAAATGACATCCTCGATGGACCCTTCCCAAAATTGTCTTGAATACGAGGCTAACATGGAAATACTAAAGTAATGCCAAAAATTCCATCAAGAAACAGTGTGATTTCTTTTATATTTCCATAATAGCATCGTATATTTTTAACAAATAGACATCAGTTTTTTATGTGTCTGTCCTCTTATTGACGATAAATTGCATTGCATCACATTGTCACGAGGCGTACCGAGTGGATCCGCATACTACTTTGACAATGTGATGGCGAAAATGTACCGTCAATAAGAGGACAGACACATAAAAAACTGATATCTATTTGTTTTTTACAATAACAAAAACGATAAAAACTTCTCATTTTTAGCGATCAAAATAACCAACAGAAAGAGCGCGCGCTCATTGACTTCAGCTTTATCTGTCTGTCCTCTTATTGATGATAAAAAATAACCAATCAGCGCGCAAGAAATTTGTAAGTTATTGTAAAAATAGTTGTTGCATGCAGACCTTGTTTGGGGCAATTCAGTTGCCCTGTGATACTACTACTTGTTGACTTACCCACTATGTAGTCTTCCTTGAAATCGTGAATTATCGATAATATGGAATTGTCTTTGTTTTGCAGCCTAAATGCGTACAACAACAGCATTAGATAGTAGTCAATACATAAACAACGCCATACCAACCGAAGATTTTGGTGATATTTAGAAAGATTTCAAAGTCCATAATCTCGCATGAGTAAATGAAATTTCGGCGCCAAGATGGGAGGATCAAAAGTCTCTCCTCGTCATATCCAAAGAAAAACTATTAAATAAATAACAAATTAGTCTTTCACAACAACGAAAACAAGAAAAGTCTACGACTTTTAAGTCACTTTTTTGTTGGGGATTGGAACGGTCTAACCTCTCGCCACGCCCCTAGAGGTTCATGAAATTGCCAAAAAGTTGGCAAGAAGCAGGTTTTTGGAGCAAACAAAAACTTTAGCTTTACATAATCTGAAATGAACCGAACAAGGAAAAATACCAATTCTTTCTATTCAGTAACTAGTGTTTTAGGCGACTATTATTACAGGAAAAGTGGCATTATGCTTCACTTACGATGAGTGCTGAATAATCTGATGTTCTGGTAACATAGTCACAGAAGTCTCTATAAGACTTCTCTTCCTGACGATGATTCTCCTTGATCTGTAATACAGTGAACATACATACATTTAGATTAACTACTAACTAACTAGATAGTATCTTATTCCATACCAAAGATTATAAACGGCAAGAAAAAGTGAAATACCAACTAAAGTAAAAGAATATTGAACGGCTTTCCTGCCTTTTGGTTGACTGGTGGTAAAAAGACGTCGTTCCTTCAGCACGTGTAAACATTCAAAAGGGTGAAGAATGTCAGGTTCTATAATAGTAGTGGCGTCATAGGCAGAGGACACTGCGACACCCTACCATACTACTATACTACTAA